TCGGCACCTCAGCTCCTGACGTCGGCGCCTGCAGCTGATCCCGCTGGTTCCATGGCGCCGGCTCGTCGCTCGATCCCTTGTGAGGTTGACTACCGTAACCATGGCGAGACGGTTCTTGTTCTCCCAGATTTGAAGAAGACTACTATTAGTCTTAGTGCCGCTGGCGGTAATCATGCTGCTGGTGGGGGATCCTGGCTCGTTGATTCGGAGCGGCGGACGCAGGAGGTTCGTTGATTTGGTAGATCTGTGTGGGGTGGATGATTGTATGTATAATGAGTCATATATAGGCTCGCTGAGGGTACGTGTTTGTATGTAGTTCTACGAGTCATGAATCCTTTATTCTTTTGTGAACCCTTCAATTGTACTACTTTGTGTGTAGATTGCTGTATAGACCTCGGGAATAGACCTCGGGAATGCAGTCAAACCCCGTTAAGATCGACCCCACCTTTCTGCAAACCTAGATCACTTTGGAAGAGTATTGCGCTCTACATAACCCGGAATGCCGATACTCTCACCACTTTAGAAAATTCTTCGACGCCCAAGGGATTTGCTCTCCTTCGATTCTAACGGAGTTTGACTGTATAGGGATTTGAGTGGCTTCGGCTGGGGCTCCCGCTGGCACTTGGCCCGATACAGGCTAGTAGGCACTAGTATGGATTAGCTCCATCTCTTAGCTGACCTCGATGTTTCTTCAAGGTCGCTTATCGCACCCCCACATGTGTTCTGTTCGAGCCTTTTTTTGTAAGATTGAATGGTTGAGATATTTTCAAATAATCTGTAGAGAAGTTCCATTCTAATCAATCCGCTATAACCCTGGAATATGGAAAATTCCGAGAGCGGCGCCGAGGTCCCCGATCAGATCTTATCTAAGGTGGCAAGTTGTCCGCGGGTGATAGGGGCCCCAGGGGAACTAAAAATTAAACATCTGAAAGTAAAAATTAACGTTTGTGTATTTTTCAAAAAGGGGGAGTGGGGCCCCAACAAAACCCCAAAGGGTCCCAACAAGCGGGTAGGGGCAATTTTATACTACGGTCAGTATTTTATTTTATTTTATTATTTTGAATGTGTCTACTACGTACCACTTCGTAAAATCATATATTGTATTTATAGATCATCCGATAGTCTCTTGACTTCCATCTTTAGTCAAGTCGAGACAACATATGTGAATACAGTAAACAAATAATGTTGAGGCCCGTATACCAACACCGAACTACATCCGGAAAGCCAAGAATAAATCCCGAAAGACAAAAAGTGGATCACATGTCCCTTGCGCATGCCACTACCGAGCCATCTCCAGCTCTCGGGGCTTCCGTCCAGACTTACAGAAAGAAATAATCGCATCTTGCCGAGGGATTACGGAGCCTGGTTACGGAGTATCCAATTGCGCAAACAAACACCAAGAAGCAAAATCAATTTGCCACACGATCTTGCATATCGGATTCACTAGGAGATTTCCAAACCAATCCATGGCCGTCTACACCGTACTCGTGCTCCATTTACGAACGAAAATGATCCGCCGAGGTAGGCTGATCACTTCGATCTATCCACATGCATCTAGGAACGCCTTCACCGTATTCTCGGCATGTGAAAGTGACAGCTATCATGGGAGGGGAACACCCAGATAGTGTGTAGATAGAGTCTAGATCACATCATCAGACCACTGGCACTATAACAACATGTAATTTGCGAAAGTGTTGGGGCGAACGGGATTAGCCGGTGAAAAGGCGGTGGCTATGAACAACTTGGGAAAAGAGTATGGAAGTTACTCCATACAACATCCATATGTTGTACCAATGAGATGGGCACATAATATATTCATGAATAGCATGTGAGAAAAAGATCAGCCCTATTCTGACTATTCTGGACAGTTCATGCGAAAATTCAGCTGTCGAAGGCGAAAGGAGGTGGGTCTCTAAATTTGTGTAATTTTCAAAACACCATACGGTTGGATTAGACTATGGGGGTGATAGTGGCGGTATGAAAATTACTCAGTCCCAAATTGTTTTCTTTCTTTTTTTCTTTCAATTTTAATTCTAATTTTCCCATTGCTTTTCTGTTTCTTTTTGAAAGAGGGCTGTTCCTTCTTTGTCTTTTCTTTCTTTTTGTGCTTTGTGCTAGTCAATTGCCTGCTTTCTCGTTGGCTCTTCTTTAGAACGGGGCATTTGGCTTCGATCTGCTGTTTAACCCTTGTGCAACAGCAAACTCAAAATATTGTGAGTAGTCCTCACTTCACAGCTTGAAGAATCCCAACTAATCCCATCACAGGTTCTTGTCGTTTTGAACCCCGTGTCTTTCGTTTCATTTCAATAGAACAGGGATACTTTGAGAGTATACCCACCGCGACTTCGGAGTTATACATCGTCAGCCTCAACACCCAACATGTCGTCTACCGCAATCCCCAAGCGCGTTGCGCTCAATCGCAACCCCGCTACAGAGTCCTCAGCGACTAGCTCTGTCTCGGCCTCGCCCTTTGACAGCCCTCGCCAGTCTCCCTCCTCTACCTCCCTTTCCTCCTTGGCTTCGGAGCAGGAGGCCAGTAAGATGCTCGATACCTATGGCAACGAGTTCAAGATCCCAGATTACACGATCAAGCAGATCCGCGATGCCATTCCCGCTCACTGCTTCCACCGCTCCGCCGCCACCAGTTTATACTATGTCTTCCGTGACCTGGCCATTCTGGGATCCGTTTTCTACCTTTTCCACAACTATGTCACCCCCGAGACTGTCCCCTTGCTGCCAGCCCGCGTGGCCCTCTGGACCCTGTACACTATCGTGCAGGGTCTCGTCGGCACCGGCGTGTGGGTTCTGGCCCACGAATGCGGTCACCAGGCCTTCTCCCCCTCCAAGGTCCTGAACGACTCTGTTGGCTGGGTCTGCCACTCTCTCCTGCTCGTCCCCTATTTCTCCTGGAAGATCTCCCACGGCAAGCACCACAAGGCCACCGGTAATCTGGCCCGCGACATGGTCTTTGTCCCCAAGACCCGTGAGCAGTACGCCACCCGCGTCGGCAAGACCCTCCACGAGCTCGGCGAGCTGTGCGAGGAGACTCCCATCCTGACTGCTGGCAACCTTCTGGCCCAGCAGCTCTTCGGCTGGCCTTTGTACCTGCTCAACAACGTCACCGGTCACAACAACCACTCCAAGCAGCCCGAGGGCCGCGGCGTGGGCAAGCAAAACGGCTGGTTCGGCGGTGTCAACCACTTCAACCCCTCCAGCCCTCTGTATGAGGCCAAGGACGCCAAGCTGATTGCCTTGAGTGACCTGGGTCTACTCATCGTCGGCACCGCCCTGTACTTCATCGGCACCAACTTCGGCTGGTTGAACCTGCTCGTCTGGTACGGTCTCCCATACCTGTGGGTGAACCACTGGCTCGGTAAGTTTCCAGACGAAAGAAATATCACTTCTCTCGGTCCATTTTGCTAACATATTCCTCGCAGTCGCCATTACCTTCCTCCAGCACACCGACCCTACCCTCCCTCACTACCAGCCCGAAGTGTGGAACTTCGCTCGCGGTGCTGCCGCCACCATTGACCGCGACTTCGGCTTTGTCGGCCGCCACATCTTCCACGGTATCATCGAGACCCACGTGCTGCACCACTACGTCAGCAACATCCCCTTTTACAATGCCGACGAGGCCAGCGATGCCATCAAGAGCGTCATGGGTGACCACTACCGCTCCGAGGCTCACACCGGCTGGACTGGTTTCTTCAAGGCCATGTGGACCTCTGCCCGTGTCTGCCACTGGGTTGAGCCCACTGAGGGTGCCAGTGGTGAGAGCCAGGGTGTATTGTTCTACCGTAACACTAACGGCATCGGTATTCCTCCTTCCAAGATGGTCGCCAAGTCTCAATAGATGTTGAGCCCTTGAGTGCTGATTTCGGTTTGGTTCTGATCATGTTTGTCTTTTCCCCTCTTGCATTGTTCTGATTTCATTCGAGCTTTGTTGTCTTATCTTGTATGCTTTGCGTGGATATACACAAGGTCAACACGATTTTTTTTCTTGGGAGATTGGGTGGGAATCATAGGTCAAATTTGATGCTTTTCTTTTTCTTGTCTTGACGCTCAAGCTTTCTTCTCATGGGGCTGTCGTTGTCTTGCATCTTCACATTGCATCTCTTTATCATAGATTCTTAGATCCATCATCTTGTTTCTTTGAGTGTTTGAGCATGTCCGAAGGATGTTAGGGGAAAGAAAGAAAAGAACCTAATGAAAAGGGGAGAAAGAGAGGGTCGCTGTTAATTTAGAGAGATGTCCATATATATGATTGTGGTTAATTTGAAGCGTGTTCTTCCTGTTTCTCTCTCTTTTCCTTACCTACTTTACACATATAGAAAGTCTAGAGCAAATGATTGATAAGTAACATGATGGCCCTATTAGAGTGATATTCTACTTTCAGATTCCAGCTCTGTTCTTCGAGATATTCTAGATACCTTGATCATCCTCGACCGAGTCAAGTCAAGAGAAATGTAATAGACAAGACAGAAGACATAAACATAACCGGTTCAATAAATGCGGCAGGGCCAGCTAAGGCTCCCACACTAAATCCAAGTTTATAGCCCTAAATGGACCAACACGCTGTGGAACAACAGCTTTGTGTCACACAAATTTCTTCTTTGTGCTTTGTTCAACCCCTTCAACCTTCCTAGCACAGGATAATCACATGTAGATAATCACATGTAAGGCACTATATAACATACACCTCCGCTTGTGACCTTCCAATCATCAGGACACCCTCAAGTCAACACTTACTATAACATCTATCATTTAGAAGATTTGGCTGTTGCTTGAGTGTTCATATTATATAATAATAGTTAATAGGGACAAATCTCAAAATCGCTGTTTGGGTATATCATGATCCTGTCGCTGTTCTAGTCTGAAACGAACACATGCGAACACAGTACGTCAAACTATCCGGAGTAGATCACAGTCAAGACTTTCCAAAATAGACGCTTTGGTAGACAAGAATGAAGTCAGTTATATATGAGATGACATCAGACAAATCATTCACCAGGACTCGTACTTCTCAAACCACCCTTCCAAATTTCAAACTCTACCTCGCCACTTCGTCTACTTGATTGGCCATTTCGTGGTGTATCCTTCGGGCCGGCCGTCCACGGCGCGAACACAAGTTTCATGGTCCTCCGAGTAATGGATTCCGAACCCGAAGTAGGCTGTTGGTTCTGCGAGTCAGAGACTCGGTTCTTGAGATAAGGTGCAGGCATTGCTATCGAGTCCGGGTCTCGATAGGCGTCTGCATTTCCTCCATTTCTGAGGTGGGCTGCTTCCTGTGTGGACGCCGGATATAAATTATCCCCCGTTGAAACACCCACAGCATGTGATTCTTCCTTTTTCAGCGCGATTCGACACGCGATCTGCGTTGTCCAGACGAATCCCAGCGCCGGGTTCTTCAGAGATCCACTTTCGGCGTACGCGCCATCCCCCCAGCCGGAGTAGAAGCGCTCCTGGTGAGCCACGTTCAACATGCTGCGTACCCGAGGGGCGATCAGGTATGAGCCGTCGAAGTTTTTATCGTTTGCTGCGTGATATGGTGATGAGGAGATAGCAGGGGAAGAGGATGGTGGCTGCTGGCTATTTCTAGTAGCTAACTGTTCAGTTCGGGATTTTAGGAAGGGGGAGACAGGGCCGGATCCATGATCTGCTGTTTGACTGGGCATGGACGGAAACCCTGTCCGTGGGGTTGGCTCGTTGCTTTTTATAGATTCGAAACGGTCGGAGACTTGGTTCGCGAGTACGATGGCGATGTCTTCCTTTACGGCGAGATTACGCAGTAGATGGCCGAGTTTTGCGAGCTGGGAGGATCGTTTGGCGAGAGCTTGGATGCTGCTTGATGTGTGTTCAGCACGGTAATTGGATGTTATTGAATCGATGATGACCAGGCCGATGTTATAACGCTCGATCGCGACGGGAAGATGGAAATTCAAGATGTGGTCTTGTGTCTCTAGGTCCATGGCGTTGATGGACAGGATGTCCTGTAGCGAGGGCGCCTGCTCAGCGGGGAGTGTTGAGAGGACGGGATGACATTCTAGGAGTTGTGAGAGTCGTGGCGTAGATAGTGGGTGTTCTGTTGATATGTATATGGCACGCCGTAGCAACCCCTGTGGTTTGGGTAGCTGGACGGCTAGACAGAGGCTTAGAAGGAACTGGGTCTTGCCGCTTCCACTGAATATTGATCCACATGTCAGATTGACTTGCCTGTCCGGCTGATAAGACTTGAATGAAGATAAACCCTTGTAACATACCTCTCGCCCGTAACTTCTGTGACATACCCAGTTGGAATTCCGCCTCCTAGCAGTGCATCCATCGCGGGGTCAAGAGTGCTTATAGTGTTCCATTGTGACGCGCGCTTCGTCGAGCTGATTGTTCTGTTTGCCACATCGGGATTTATACTAGAGCCAGGTCCATCACTGGTCCCTGTATTTGTCTGGGGCTTTTCGAAGCCAACATCGGTGTGCAATGCCTCGACAATGGAGGAGGAGAGCCGGCGAACATCTGCGGGAGGTACACGGGCACGTTTCGCGATCTCGAGGGAGTCGAGCGTAATCACGTCAACGGTGGTGACTTTCGCTCGTTCAAGGGGCGGAAGGATATGTGCGAAGGGTTTTGTTGCAAAGCCAGGTAAAACTAATAGAAGATCCATAGGAAGGGCAGCCGTTATGGGAGTTGATGTTGCGACTCTAGATTGTTCAAGGTGCCTGAGCCAATCACAATGGGAAATAATAATAGCCCATGATTGGCCGATTCGAACCATCGACTGGACCTCGGGATACCCACACGTGACTTCCTGAGAGCGTAGGACCAATCACAACCAATCACAGTAATATAAAAAGACCCACACCTAACCTCAGTAAAGGATCTCGAAGGAAAGAAAAAAAAAATAGGTAGCTTCTCTTTGATTGAGCGTGTCATCCTTAGTGCAGGGGCCATGCTAATCTTCTCTGTATATTTTCAGTTGACCATATGCCCCGAAGGGCGAAATATCTGTATGTTCAGTTCATTATAACCTCACCTTTGGCAGAATCACACCGCCTATTTTGTATACAACAACCATGGCATGCAACTATAGCGCTACCTCATCAAAATGGGAATTTGTTTATATTGCTGTTACAAAGGCTTTAGTGGTTACTATATGGCTTACAGTTCACTTGGAGTTGAATGCCATGAGCATTTATTGACGGCTGGAAGTCAGAAATGGTTCCAACTTGTGAAGTCAACTGGAAAGTGTACATGCGTAGGAGTCAAGGATCTTGTGAGCAATATTAACACACAGCTTGGTTTTGTTTAAGTGCTTTAGGATGACAACTGGGCTAATCTATAGAGCGTTACATCCTTTCCCCCCCCCTTGATCCTGCGAGGTTTGAAGGGGAGTGAGCGAACACAAGCCTTACACGGAAAGCGAAAATATGCAAGTGAAGAGATAGAGAGGGGGAGACTAAGGAACAGATAGTTCTCTGAGGAAGCATATAGGCATGACTCTATAAATAGCACTATACTGGATAGAGGTCCACATTTACAAGGCAAATTGTAAGGCAAATTGCAGGGCAAGGCAAACAGATACTGCATGAATATTGAGTAGTAAGGATAGGTATATGTGTAGTGGGAATATTCTTAGACATACAAAGCCATACATTAATTGCACAAAGCCATTTGGGCCTGAGGTCTATCAAGCAAGTCCTTGACGGCTAAACAAACTGGGGAGTGTACTGGTTGATGCATGCTTAGCAGTGGAATCATATCACTCTAAAAAATCAATATCCCTTATTATGTAACTGGGGTATGATTAGCGTGTATCACCTAGCAAAATTAACCACCCGGTTAATTTCGACCTTAATATCTTGATGCCAGCCTCAAACTACTCCGCACATATCTCGGGGTTCCTAGTTTGGAAAGTCGCAGAAGCTCAATAGCCCCCAAGTATAAAGAACTACCCCGTATTCTACACGGAGTGAGAGCACAAAAGATCTTGTAGATAAAAGTGTGCTATTTAAATATACACCCCTGATGTTGGTTGGTTTATTAAACACAAACTCCATATAATTCAATAACATGCCCTCTATGACAACTAAAATGTTATCCCGCGTATTATATATGGAGTAGACCACATCAGAACACAATTGTTACCAGGGCAAAATATATTATTCGGGAACCTGATTGTACAATTGTCTTGTAAAGAGTACAAAGTACAAAGCCGGTACCTTTGACATTCTGCATCGGGCAGGTGGATAAAATGTGGCTTGGATTGTTTGAAATCCGCCGGCATCCGTGCGGAATGAGGGAGGATTTGAGAATTCAAGAAGATTGTTTCAAATTTTGATTAATTATTTTGTTCACTCCATGAGTTGTTCGCGTTTCTCGGTCAGATCTTGATCGAGTCCTTGGTTATTGTATATGTTGCTATGGACTAAAGTCGATATATCATTCATCTAAAATTTACATTTTAGGACTAATACCTGGTGTCACTATGACCCGTCCTAATGCCGCTAGTTGCGTGAGAGAATCAAATCGTTTCACCAGTTTCGAGGGGCCTGGTTTGTACCTTACTGGGGATCTACCATCTCTTTCACCTGGTGGTGCAATAATTGAACTGGCGGTCAACTCCTACCTAAGTCTAGTTTCAAGGGAAAAGCGGGACCGAAGTGATAGATCATATTATCTCATTTTTCATTCCAGATTTGAGTCGTCCCAGGGATCGGGACAAACCTACCATCGGGATTTGTTTGTAGATCCGTGTTTCTACCGGTATATTGCAGCATATCAGTATATATATATATTATGCGAGGATCTAAGTGTTGTTCCCAAAAGTAGCACGGGAAAAACCTGGACCGTCTTGTGAAACAATGATATGGTCATACTTCATCGTGAAGACCAAAAGTTATAAAATACAATAGAATAGCCCTAATCTATGACCTCGAACTAGGGTTATAGAGGGGGAAAGCCTCAATCCATCCTGATGCGACCGTATCACACTAGAACAAACAAAGAGTAAAGGGCAGCGGGTTGCCTACAAGACCGTAGCTGCAGAATGGAGAAAGTTGATATTCTACCCGTCACACCCGTTTGGCAGCCACTTACATGATGAACCCATCCTGCCATCTCATCTCGATCAAGGCAATAGTCCAAATGCAAAGACAGGCCGAAACTACGATTCTTACGGATATTACAAGATTATGTACGGAGTACTCCGTAGGGAGTACAGAGTAACATGGTTCAGTCAGAATAAGGGGAACACTTGCATATCTCCATGTGGATGTGAGAGGGACTCCTACCAAAATACAGATAATTGTCCCTGCAATATATAGAATCATTGGACCCATGTGTATATTCTATTATTAAAGAGGAAGGATATTTCCGGGGTTATTTGCAACAGCTCTCTCTACAAACATTGAGTACAATATAATATATATGGAGTAGTACCCAGTAAAGAGCCTGCTGAGCGCTACCAAAATTTCTGTAATATAATAAATCCTTCCAAAATATCAAAGCACTGAATCTTGGAAATATCTATGATCTTCGAGGGGGCTGGGGGAGCCACACACACGGCCAAAATGATTCGAAGATCGCGCGTTCGATAAGGCAACTGCATAATAATTTCTTATAAGTACGGAGTACTCCGTAAGTGGACTTGCCTTTCAAGACACTACCAGAGCCTTTCATCATTATTGCGTTGATTGTGTAGATTATTGCCCAGGAAGTGACTGTTCGCATTGAGCCATGAGGATTCCCAGCCCCTGTAACACATGGCTTAGTGCGGGTTGAAGTTGCGACAAAGCTTGGACCGAGTATGACAGTACGTATGGATTAAGAAACGGTAAAACATGAGAAATAAAAATTCAATCCAGGAGCGCATCACTTATGCAGACGCTCTTCAGCGCCACAGGGAGCTCTGCAGCACCAAGTTGAGGTATGTCGGGTTTAAAGTACATAGACTTGCGTTATCACTTGGAATATCATGAAGAATAGTATAAGTTTTGTCCTTTTAGTTATGGCCGAATGGACCGAGGAGATTTTTAGGCAGACGGATCGATTATTCAGAGCTGACGCAGTAGTTTCTCATGGCCCGATTTCCCTGGTACTAAATGCCAGAGATCCATAATTAAATATAATTACTCCGTACGGAGTACTCCGCAGATAGAAAGGACCTGTTTCAGAAAATAACAAGTATCATTCCATATTCTGTACACATTATTATGACAACAATAAAAAAAAAATATAGTTTTCAAGTCTATCAGTGCCCATCAAAAGGACCGTTAGACCCGGCCCAGTATGGAATCCCTCGCTAGATCCTGTACTATGTAGTGTAACTAGGTCTGCAGGCCCTAAAATGTAGCACGGCGTAGCTTTTCTCAATTTTGGTTATATTCGGTTTGTTCAACCCTGAGTGTTTAGAATATACCACTGAACAGGTTGGGGCGGTAGCTTGTTCGGTGCAGACCGTGTGAGGTTGATGTATGATATTAAATTCATATCTACTCAGTACAGGGAAGTCAGATATTGACGGTGATAATACCAAGGAACAACTACTCGACTGAGTTGACGTGGCTTCCACTACCTGTCTAGGTGGGACGTTGTATTTCGTATATCGTTCCAACATGCTCCATTCTCCATATTTGTATTCCATCCACGCTTTGTGCTGAGTCGTACCAAAGAAAAGGAAAGAAAAAAAAAGTATGCATAATTTATCCACTATTATAAGCAAATCGGAATATCATCAGAGTTCCCGCAATAGCCATGGATGACCAGGGATTTCAGTAAAAAGGAGGATTTGCATATCAAAATTCATCATTGGACTGCGCGGCATTGGATCAACAGCTGGCACCTGCCAGAAACCGTCTAGTTGGTCCTGGACGTTGATTAGAGCCATTGTTGATTGGATCAGTGGAGTCAGCCAAGCCAGGCGCGAGAGGATCGGTGGTTCGATGGAGTCTGACTTCATTATCGAAGCGAATCACTCCGTGTGATGATTGACAATCAATGTCTAAATCGGGAAGTCCAAGTCGGAAGGTTCGAAGTTCCGAGTTCGTTTTTTCGTGTTCTCAGGGGGCTAGGCTTGTAATGAGAATACGCGGTATTGAAGTTTATCAGTGGAATTTATTCATAATAGATGAATATTGATCCTCGAGGTTTTAAAATGGCATGCTCATATAAAACAGCATATTCTTCATCTATAGAAGTATACAATATAAGCATAGAAGATTATGGAGACCATGGAAAATAAAGAGACTCCGGTCCGTTGGACTGGGTTGCGACCGGAACCTTGGAACCAGGGATATTGACGCCGGGTAACGTGGAGGGCTGTTCCATGGGAAATAAATACGGGCTTACAGCAAAAAAAGTAACTAGATCTGCAAATTGATGTATGTCTTAAAGTCGTCACACTATTTTAGATTTGAATTTATCATATTTACATATTTCCATAGTATAATTACATAGTATTATTGAAATCCTTAAAATACTAACACCTAAGTTGTATACAGTTGAAGACCATCAATTTGCCATTTACATGGCATGTCCAATGTATACATCAATGTCCTTTTTTTTTTCTCTCATTTAAATAATTTATCATACAGAACAATAGAGATTAGAAAGTACATAAGTAGAAACATTGAAACAAGGAAACCATATGGTCCTACAGAGCCCCCGGACGGAACAGGTACTTTTGCTCATACCACAATTACCCATAATACCTATAATACCTATAATCGGCGCACCCAGGGCTCGGGGCACCATTCACACTCTGCCCCCTCTCCTCTTTTTTACTTTCCCATCAGTGAATTCGAGCTTTCATTTGCTTGCGGGAATTGGCTTTTGTTCTTTTCCTTGTATGTGTGGAAATTCATCGATTTGGCTATCTTGGAAGTCTTTCCAGCGACTTATGTGAGGGAACTGCAGGAGAAGAACGCCATATTCCACCAACATAAACCAGCACTTGTCCAGGGCCCCGCGTGGATAATCCAGATTGTATGTTGCTCTCCGTGGCAGAATCGACATAAGACCAACCCTCCGACCACGCGATCGACCTTGGCTGATACTGCGACCGGCAGAATATTTGGGGAATAATAGCATCAATCCGCGAAAATGGCCAACAGACCACCCATCATGCCGCCTCATAATGAGACTGAGCACTCAGTCAGCCGGATCACCCGTGAAGGCAAACAGCTCACATACAAATTGAGCGTGATGCAACAACCAGAGCGGGCAAGAGCATGCGGCGCAGGAGCGAAGTGTGAGTATTCGCTGTTGAGCCTAATCAGGGCTGCGCGTTGACTGACTGTCGCAAATAGCATCTGCCGACCGTCGCCCTGTTGACCCACCACCTGTGGTCGAGCTACGCATCTTCGAGTCTGACCCGGCTAATGATGCGCAAAAGACCGATATCACCTTCGCCTACAATGCCAATTTCTTCCTCTACGCAACCCTTGACACCGCACGCCCTATGGCCCACGGACGGGTGGGCGGGCCACAGTCGTGCCCTGTATTGACTGGTGTGCCAGTCGCCGGTGTCGCATATCTCGACCGCCCCTCACAAGCAGGCTATTTCATTTTTCCAGATCTGTCGGTGCGTCATGAGGGCCGGTACCGCTTGAGCTTCCACCTGTACGAAGAGATCAAGGACGCCAAGGATGCCGACAAGGATACGTCTTTGCCTCTTCCTAACCAAATCCCTCTTTCCGCCACATCAAAGCCAGGCGCCCCGCAAGCATTCCTTCATTTCCGCCTCGAGGTCAAGTCAGTACCGTTTACCGTTTACAGCGCTAAGAAGTTCCCTGGTCTAGCGACCAGTACCTCTCTGAGCCGTATCATTGCCGAGCAGGGTTGCCGTGTTCGCATTCGTCGCGATGTTCGCATGAGACGCCGGGGCGATAAACGAGATACGGACTACGAATTCAGCGAGGAACGCGCAGCTGCATATGCAGGAACGTCAGATCGTTTCACGACACCCGACAGATACGCAGCTTCGATGGACCGTCCTAGGTCAAACAGCAATGGAAGCAATATGGAATCACCCTACGGGTTTGTTCCTCCAGATCGACGACCATCTGCACCCGACTATGGCTTCCAGTGCCCACAACCCCCTTACCAAAGACCCATGCCACCTGCACCCATGTCACACTCCCAAACACCCTCATATCAATCGCACCTTTCATTTGGTTCCACACCTTCGCATTATCCAGCTCCTCACATGCCTCCTACACCCCCACCGGTTGCACCACAAGGTATCTACTCTCCACAGCACGCATATGCCCAAATACGACACCCATCCAACGGCTCCGAATACGAAGGAACGCCCATTTCGTATCCTGTGGCGCCTCAAATACCTGCCGAACGGGGTGGTTACCCCAAGTCTGCTATGAATTCCTATGGCGTGGAACCACCGAAACCAAACTCATACATGGATCCTCGCATGCCTGAACCAAGTCCATACCCGCCCATGCCCCATGTTCCGGTGTCACGCCCTCAAACGCCAAACTTGGTCCAGGCTATACCACCTCTGAAGCCCCTGCCAAATGAATATGCCAACCACATTGTTCCTTCTGTGGAAAGCACTTCGCCCGGTGGCGGCGATGGATACGACAACGTTAGAGGAAAGCGTATGGTATACCAAACTGGGCCAGCATATGGCAAACGGAGTCATGAAGATACTTTCGGCCTTGATGACCGGTCAATGCAGAACGGCATGCGGCCTGATACCGAGCCTTATCCCGCTTATCGCGATTTCTCAGGAGAAAGTCGCGCTGCCCTGATGGCTGAAATGGGCATTGAGCTTGCATACAAGCGTGCCAACGGTAAAATGGTCATGAAAGCTCCTCCGTCGAGTTAATAAAATGTTGAATGACCTCAAATATCTTGCCGTGATGGCGGAAAATATACCCACCTTGGGCTTGCCTCGATGACCGAGTCTTGAACCGGTTAATGGACTGGATTCTCGTGATGGTATCTGATCGCATCCTTTTTTGTACATAACTCATCTCCTGATTCCTCATTGAGACAACCTAAGCCCTAGGTTCCTTGATGCATTTGGACTTGTCTTCGGGAACTGGTTTCTTCTTTCATGTTTTACTCTTTTGCGAGGGATTTTCTTTGGTCAACATCTGGTGTTATATAGGGGTTTGGCGGGTTGCTATTGTTACTCCTAACCTCAATGATCATTCATGTCTGTTACATTCATTTCTGCCGCACCATTCTTGCATTCACACTGTCATTAAGAGCGAAGCACCTTGTCCCCTGCGATCAGAACAGGGAATGCCACCCCTATCCCGATTCTAGCTGGGATGCTCTTAAGCATTTCTCTTGGAGCATACGTTTTCCGAACAGACAAGGGCTGATCTCATTAACGTTGCGACTGAGATCCTTGCTTCACACCCAGAACCCCTGCTGCTTGGTGTACTCCTTATACTGGCGTTGTGACATCTCCTTGATACCTAGCATATTTCTTTTTACCCCAGTTTATGATTTCCCCCCAATTTATCATCAGAATGCATGTTCCCGTATTTTAGTGGCCAAGGGTTATAAATCCTATACATATCTAGGTTAGACATGTCATATATCTACATTCCTTATCAAATACAGGCACATGTCTGAGACACGCGGAATTCTACCTCAAGTCCAGGTGTTATATATATAGACATATTTGTACCTGTTTGTTTGGGGATACGGGACATTCTCATGGTGTCACGGGTACTTTGTAAAACACCGAAAATTGGCGGTAGTCGTGGGTACCAGGTACCACAACAAACTTTCCCCCTTTGGCAAGTGCGGAGTATGTAAACAAACCTGCGCATCACATTTGCTCGAGTCTCCCGAGATTTCAATTTCATTTTTTCATTTCTTACCTTTATTTCTTCCCTCTCCTCTCAGCACTATATTTCTATGCCAAATTCTGACAGGCTTTTGCGACTTTCCAAGGGCGTGGGCAAAAAAAAAGAAAGGATAACCCAAGCTGTAAAGGTAAGGTCTATTCCCATAATCCTTATGGGAAGGGACTTCAAAGCCCGCATAAGAAGAATTGATTCTAACTTGCCTGCGTCGTTTCAGCGCCCGCGACTCCAAAATGGAAATCGACATCGACCTGAGCCCCGCACACCAGCGCTCCTCGCGCAAACACTTACGATCTAGCGACAACGATACCTGCGATTGGAGCTCAGACGTCTCTGGACAATTCGACGATGCCGAAGAGGCGCATGCAGATGATCACCGATCGCCGCCCGCGAAGCTGACCAAACGACGTCGTTCCAACGACTGGCCGTTGCCCGAAGAAGCTGCTGATTACGGAGCCCATGATCGCCGCACCCAACGCGGTGAAAATGGGAGTCGCAGCGTGAGCGGAACCGGCTCAGGCTTTAAGGCCTCGCCCCGCGCTTCACCTCGCGGCTCGCTAGCTTCGCTGCGCGCTCGTCATGCTGCGGCATCTGCTTCCAGCCCCCGCCGTCCCAGAGGACGAACATCGCGATTCGTCGAAGCGACTATGAGTGATAGTGTCAGCGAGAAACCGCCCAGTATCTACTTCCGGGAGCAGGAAAATAAGAACCCTACCCTGCAGCACCGCTCATCTGGTATTTTTCGTTTTGGGAAGGCTATTGCCTCGGCATTTAATCCCTTTGGTGGGTGGGGGAGGAACTCTGAGGGGTCGCCAAATAAGTCGCCGCAGAAGGATGTCATCAACCAGGCGGAGCAGGCATATGCGGAATTGAAGAAGGCTGGCTACAAGGGTACGAATAAGGGTCATTACATCGAGGATCTTCGTGTCAACCCTACACTCGCCGACCAGACCTGGCGGTCTATTCAGCACAAAATGGAACATGGTTCTCCAGTCAAAGACTCGTATCGCCACGCGATTGATCAAGGAAACTATGGTATACACTCGCGCTCTGAGTCTTCAGCTTCCAAACGCTCCTCCCTTCAAGATCTTCGCCTGCCGAAGTCATTCTTTAAATCCCATGGATCGCCGTCTGCTTCCCCAGCAGTGTATTGCGATAGAACCTCCGATGAATACGAGCCAACTGGTCTGCGCAAGCAACCCTCCCGCAGGGAACTCTCGCGTCAAACAAAGCTGCTCAAGAAAGTAAGCAACCTCGAGGACAAGCTGCAACGTGCCCGGCGGGAGCTTCGTGACCTCACAGGCAACGAGGAACGGACCCCAGCACCTACAGCCGAGCCAAAGACCCTCAATACCGAAATGGATCCGGCGTTATTTCCAAGGAAGTTCGTCCCTGGTGCCCTTCCCACTCTGCCATCGGAAAGGCTTCTGGATCAACAGGCTACAGAAAACGGGCCGTCTGGCCCCGAAGGGGCCAGTCCAACGGCCCTGCCATCCGTGGATGGCCGCGACACTTTCTCCTTCGAAGAGTCACGACTGCCTCGAACCCCGGGTACGACCCAAAGTCCAAAATGGCGCTCAAAAGGGACACAGCCGTCGTCAATGGGTAAGGACCGCTCTTCCCGTAAACGGAAGTCTTCCATTCCTGAATCTATCGATAGTGGGAACCCTCCTCAGCCCAGTCCGACGAAAGGCATCAACGATCATGAACACGACCCCGAACTCGAGGTTCTAATTGACTCCGGTCTACTTAGCCCACCCGGGAAAGCGAAATGGCCGAAATCCGAAGCTGGCGAGAGCCCCGGCTCAGCCAAGCGCAAGCAAGCCATCGACCACGCAGCTCCCCCGACCGAGTATGAAGAAAAGGAAGCAGGAAGAAATGCAAGTGCCACGCGCAACATCAAAAGGTCCCCCTACGTTCAACCCCGAAAAGCCTCCGGAACCACCCGCTCACCAAGTTCCAAGCCCACAACCCCTCTCCGCATGAGCAAAACCCAGACCAGCGCGCGTCTAGCGTCTTCGCCTGCCGCTACCTCGGACGACGACTTTCGTTCCAGTATTTGGTCCACGCCTCTGCCTGCTCCGCCTGACCCCCAGCGCGAAGCCTTCTACCACCACCCACAGCGCCAGCTCAATCCTGATCGTAGCCCTCGCACCCCGACACGGTCGAAGACGAGTCCTAGTCGGAGACGGTCTGGGTATCTGGTTGACGACGATATCCCGCCTGTACCGCCCCTCCCCGAAGAACTTCGCTCGAGTGCTGCCAAGGTCCACGTCAATGCGAATAGGTCGCCTAAAAAGAGACCTGTGTCTGCCCCCGTACTCTCTCCGTCGTCGGCTTCTGGTGTGGAGTCTGTGATTTCGGGCCTAGAGGATTATCAGTGGCCTGAGGATATTTTCTGAGGATTTTGCGTTCTACTTTTTTCTTATGAGGAATGATGCTTATGAGGTTTTTTTATGTTGGGTAGTTTGGTTTTAGCATAGCCGTGCGAGGGTGTGTATTTGATTGGGTTTCTTTTTGGTTGATGGCTTTTTGATTTCTCGCGCTGTTGGTCGTCGTGATCTAACGAAGTAATGAATTTTTATACCCTTGGGCCTTCGTTTGCTTAATCTCATTAAGTTAGAATCGTTTCTACGTTCTAAACCCTCGTACGTCCATCTTCTCGAAGCCTACTGAACAAATGGCTTATGCTTTTTGCACATAACAACTTTCTCAGCTCTCTCTTGCACCAGTAGAACTCTGATGTCTACTATGAAGCTCGGTTTTATAAACCCCTCATTCCTGATGTAGAGCCCTATCCTTGGGCAAAATTAACCAGCTCAAACCAGCAGCACCGAGCAAACCAACAAGCATGGGCTGCAGGACCTGGACACCGACCTGTCCCGCGATGATGCCCGTCAAAGCGGGAAAGACAGATCCGCCGATTTGACCAAGTACGAACACAAATGCTATATAGGTTATTAGAATATAAATGCACGGCCCTAGACACAAGACTGGGGGTTAGCTTACCGATCGCCGAAGAGCGGATCTCTGGTGAGAAGATCTTTGAGCCGACCGAAATTCCCTAAGCCAGGAGTTAGAGTTGGGCATAGGTACATAGAGTGGTGGGCACTTACTGTTGCGAAGAAAGGACCAGAGAAGAATCCTAATAAACTGACTGCTACTGCCTCGGTGATGATATTTGGGACACTAGTAAACCACGAGTATTAGTAAAGACAAGGATCCATATCAGGGTCGGTATATAGATGAATCTTAAAGGTAGTGCCAAACTCACAGCCAGAATACCAACTGCAACCCCACACACAACAAAGAGTAAATAAAGATCATTCGACGCTCACCGAGTCTATGCGTAGGCTCGGCAAGGATAAGCCGTCCTAGAAAGGCGCCGCCGTAGAAGCCAGCTGGGACGTAACCCATTGCTTTGACGTCGCCATTACGGACATTGACAAGGTACTCGACCATCCAACCTGATACAATTAGTTTCACAAGACATGTAGAGGGCCCAGAGAAGACAAACCTCCAGCGGTGATCGAAGCCCCAAGAAAGAAAAAGAAAAACAAACTCAGCAACCAAACCCCAGGAGTAGAGAGTGTATCCTTAACCTCCTTAAGCGCAGAATTGGAAGAAGACCTGCCACCCCTCTCCCCCTCAAAACAGTCGGAGTAGCCATACGATCCCGGAACGAAACACCTACAAACGCGAGATTCGCCACACCCACGCTAAGCGGGAAAAGATAGAAAAGATACCATTTCGAATCGACATTCGCCGATGCCACGCCCGTCGCCACGAACGGACCAACTAGACACCCGGCCATGTACATAGCATGGATAAACCCGAGCCAGCGGTGCGCGCCGTTCAGCGCCGAGACGAAGGTATTGGCGTGAGTATCGTTGTAAGCTTGGCCTAAGCTAGCGAGGAAGAATGTCACCGCGTACAATGCGAATGGAGGTTCCCAGGCGCGCAGCACTTGGGCTAGGACTTGGATAGCGGCGCCTAGGCTGAGGATTGGGCCTAGGTCTAGGTATTGGGTTATTTTGCCGTTTGTTAGGGCTGCGATTAGCCAGCCGAAGAAGGTCGTGCCGTACCTGGCTGTGTTAGCATTGTATTGCAGATGGATATGGATATTTATGCTTGAATAGTCTTACAGAACGGCTACCATGTTTGTCCCGATGTCGTAGGTGCGTATCACGTAGGGAATGAGCGATCCTAAACTTCCGTCGTTGACCCCCGCGACGAAAAAGGATAATCCTGCGCTGAGGATTTTGGCATATATCCATTTTGGTTCTGGGGGTCTTGAATCTTGGAATGTTTCATTCTCGGTTGGAATTGGTTCGGTGGAAGCTCTTGTCTGTAGGACGATTGTCTCTGTTTGCGTCTGGGCGCTCATGATGAATGGAATATGAGAATTTGGTTCTTGGCTAATACCACGAGCCTGGAGTGCAGTTTTTTAAAGCCAGCAAGAAGCGGCAATCCAGCCCGGGTTTGCGTCTTAAACGAAGGCCAATATCAGAATGGGAACGGCCAAAACGTGGAGAAATGCGGAGTTGGCGGTTCTTGGGCCGAGGTTTAGCCGAACACGAGGTGAAATATCATTACATTAGGTCAATTCAAAGGGGACTTGAGAGTCATAAATATGCTGTAATATCATCTGGAATCTATCTCTAACCATCATTCCCTAGGACGTACATGGTTTTCTTAGGTAATAAGAGGGACGTAGCGTTAAATATATATTTAGACCCCAAGCATGAGAGAGTCGATCACGGTGTAATTTTATAGCGATGATCGTACACTTGATATATATTATTCTATTCCACAGTCATGGAAGACTGGAGTTGTTATTGTGAGTAGAGCTAGTTCGCTTCCAATAGCTGGATAGTAAGACTGGTTCGAAGCAGAGTTGCATTAATCATTAACCACCTGAAGCACTTAAATAATACCCTCTCGATATACCACAAATGCCACCTAAAGAATAGCAGTAGCATTCGCATGTGTCCCGACACCACCTACCAAGCTGTTAGCATATTCCATATACCCAGAACATAAACCCAACCGCAAAGCCTACAAAAAAGAAAATACATACCAGGCATATTGGCCGGAGCACTAGTCATAAAGAAAGACCACTTCCCCCTCGCACGACACTTCTCAGCAAGCCTCTCCAAATCCCACATCTCACCAATAGGACACCCCCACAGCGCCAACAAGCTCTGATGCAAATAGTCACCTTCAGGAACCGGCCAAGACTCAAACGTTGGCGAGTCACCTGCCACAGCCGCAAAATAACAATCATGCAACCAGTCCCGGATAGCTGGTTCGCGCGAGAGTCCCGCAAAGCACAAGTTCTCGTGGGACCGTGTCGCAGCTGCATACCGCTGCTCAGAACTGAGCTCGTAGTATCGTTCCACGAAGCCGGAGCGCACGAGTAAAATATCTCCGATGCGGATATCGCCGCCTTCGGACTGCGGGCGTAGATCTATGCCTTGGGATATTGCGCATGCTTGTAACTCTGAGAGGGTGATGTTGTGTGTTGTGTAGGGGTCGTAGGGCTTGTGGTGGGTTTTGGCGTAGTGGTGGTAGTCTAGGAGGATTCCTCGACCGGCGATGCCGTGCGTTGCCCAGTGGTGAATGCTGCAGCGGTGATTTGCGGTTTCGCCTACAAAGTCGCTGCCTTTGGCCTAGGTGTTGATTGGTTAGTTTCCGGGCATAGAAAATGGGGGACTTGGAGCATACCCCATTGTAGAAACATTTGCTGTCAATGTGGGCGAACTATGGACGTATTAGATCAGGTATTCTTTTTTCTTTTAGTGAGAATAATAACTCACATGCCGGAACCCATCCCACTGCGTCCCGCTCTGCGTGTTCATAATGTATATATCATCATAAGCTATGCCATCAATCAGTGTTTTGATGTTATGCTGGAACACTTCGCGGTCGAGAATCGGCTTCTCGGGTACTGTGAGAGGGAGGCTTGATATTGATGCTTGTAAGCGGATATTGTGATTTGGCGTAATCTTATAGTCCACTGTACTTACTCTAGTCGCACCATCTCGCCAGTATCAATCTCAGCAGCAGATGCCTTGACCCGCTGCGGCGTCAAAAGGTTCAACCTGCCGATCTATACACAAAACGTATTAGCCACATAAGAACAGAACATATCGACAGGAAAGATAGCATCACACCTCATCATCTTTGCCCCAGACCCAAGCAGCACCTTCGGGTGCACCGGGAAGCTTTGGGAGATCTTCCCGCGAAGGGAACTTGGTGTTGTTCGGATTCCAGGGTAATTCACTGGCAACTTGAGTGGAAGACAACATAGAGTTATTTTGAATATGACTTGATATGGCAGAGAGTCTGGAAATACTGCAGGACGCCATGGGGAGGATAAGTACTGGATATACACCGAGGGAACAAGTTTAAACAGCAATTTGAAGCACTATTGTAGTACAGTGACTAGACTGACTAGATCAAAAGTTACGTGTTGCACACAGCCGAATTTATAGTGGAAGCAAGGGGGCGTTGGGCAGATCGGAAGGTATAGAATTGTTCTTCTCTGAATGGCTCGATTTCGATCTATCTCGCGGATGTACGGATCTCCACATAGTTAATCGATCTGTGTAGTGTAATTTCTTTGTTACAATTTCTAAGAAGAGCGGTCAGTCCGAGCTAAAGACATGATACATGATGTATCAAGTTTGGAGAGGAGAGCTCACATCCACAGGACTAAAGGATTCAGCCACTTTTTGGGTTCTTAGGTCTCGATCTGCCGAGTGAATAGGATGGCGAATTACGTTGTACTCCGTACATAACTAGTGCTTACATATGTATATATATATATATATCTAAGGAAGAAACAGATTCGAAGGCCATTCAGCCTCGTTTTTTGCCTTTTTCATTTAGGTCATTGGGGGAGTTTTCCTCCCCAGATGGTTTACACACAAATAACGATATCTCCTCTATGCAAGCAGAGGGATCATGGTGCATTGGCCACTTTCTGCGCAGTTGAAAACATGAGAAGGAAGAATCCACGGGATCCAGGAATTTCAGAAGACGCTGCGGAAAGGGTATGCGTGACAAAAAAAAATATAACAATAAACAAAAATAAACACAAATAAACACCCATAATTGCTGTTGCAGGAAGTATCGTATGGCCAACCCAGTATGCCCCCGGCCCCAGTTTGCCATTGCGCCGAAGAGACTAGAAAAGATTCAAGTGTGATTATTCGTTTCGGTCATTGGTCTTGCCACCCAAATATGAAAACAAGATAGCAATCATCGCTAGAAGGACATGTAAAAAAAAAAGATCTCGATCAACCCTGGGATGGAACACCAGTGGACTCCGAGGGGACCCGGCCGCCACGGCCACGTCCACCATAGCCACGATTGTAACCACCTCGACCACGACCGTAGCCACGGCCACGGCCACGACCGCGGTAATTGGGGCGGTAGCCATCAACGCTACCCTGTCCGAAAGTTTCCATATTGCGTTTCTCCTCCTCGCCGCGCCATTCACGGCCACCAACACGAGCGGTGTTTTCCTCACGATCGCGAGCCTCACTCGAGATATTGTCAAAGAAGGAGGAACCGCGGTTGTAGCCATGGTTCGAAGCGCCGCCGCCGTTTGACATGGATTCCATAGATTCCGCCTCCTCAGCTGCATGGGCCTCAGCTTCAGCAACAGGAACTCCAGTGGCAATGGCCTCCTTCACCAAATCCTGCTTGTTGAACTTGGCGTTTGCGGTTTGGAAATCGTAATCCGATTGGGGGACTTCGATTTTCTTGGGCTGCTGCGGAGGACGAGCACCGCCGCGTCCACCACGAGGGTGGTGATGACCGCCTCGGGGGGCACGGGTGTTGTCATAAGGGCGCATGTGGTTCATCTGCTGCGTAAGCGCATCCACGGCACCTTCGGGCTGTCCGGGTTGCTTTTGAGCACCAGGCTGCGGCAACTTGGCCATGGCGGCAGCAACCGCCGCAGTGGCGGCCGCGGTAGCATCGGTGACAGACTGGTTATTTCCCCGAGGGGCGGAAGGAATGTGGGCGATCGGAGGATTGGGCTTCGGGGCAGCGATCGGGATAGCTGGCATGACTCGGCCATTCTTCTGAGCAGTTAGAGGAGCAGTACTGACAGGACCTTGCAAAGCTTCAGCAACAGTAGGCTTAGACTCGATTGGAGGAGTGGGGGCGTTCTGAGCGGCCGGGGTTGCGTTACGGCTCGTAGACTTGTTGGGAACCTTGTCCCCGACCGGGAGTTCAGAGGTAGGCTTAGGCGCGGGAGCGGCACCCGGAGGTCCGGGGCGCTGAGATCCAGGCTGCTGAGATTCAGGCTGCTGAGGACCAGGCTGCTGAGGACCAGGCTGCTGAGGACCAGGCTGCTGAGGACCAGGTTGCTGAGGACCAGGTTGCTGAGGACCAGGTTGCTGGCCAGGGCCAATGGGCATCGGCGGTTGGAATTGACCAGGGCCCGGGGGGAATCCATGGCCTGGAGGGGGGTACCACCCGGGCGGAGCACCATACGGCGGGAAACCGGGACCGGGAGGGAACGGAGGAGGTGGTCCAAATCGCTGTCCGTAGGGAGGGTAGAAACCTTGCTGGAATTGGTGTTGCGGGGGATAACCGGGAGGAGTTGGGCCAGCTCCCTGGGGCAGCTGGGGAGGGCCCTGGGGAGGAAGATTCTGTGGAGCAGGTCCCGAATCAGGCCCCTGGGTAAGAACTGGTCGTTGCGCGCCCTATTTGCACTGGTCAGCACACTGTATACACGATGATACAGAAAACAAGTCCACGATTGGGAATTGATCATCAGAAGGAAGGCAACGGAAATCTCTACACGGTTTTGCGCATTCAGAACAGGTCTGTGAGTTTACATCCGAGAATTTTTCGTCACTTGATCAATTCGCCGAGAGAATGGGCGGTGGTTTGTTGTGCGGGATGACGTGGTGGGTTCGAGGAAAGAGCTGTGACTTACCCCGAGAATGGCAGGGTCATCTGGTACCCGAGGAGCTTCTTGCGGTGCGGGGTCCTTTTGGTCCTCCCCAGCAATGCTGATGTCCTTCACATCACTTCCTCGAAAGACGATGTACTCGTAGACACTGGTGGAGGGGGGGACTTCCTCGGCGGGGTTGCCACGGCGCCCTTCTGAGCCGAATGACATGACATTCTCAAGAGCTATCGTGGAAGCTTCGGGGTTGATTTCGTGAAGAGTACCGACATAGCTGAAAGACAATTAATTATGGACAAGGTAATTGAGAGTCTGATAAACTCACCGAATGTCACTTTTCGAGATCAGGTTGAAACGCTGACTGCCAGATGTTAACTCCCGGCCACCTTGGCTCCGAACATGTTCAGACTGACCCTATGAGGTGATTCATTTCCATGGCAGCTGTGCGCGATATCGCGCTGGGTAAAAAAACGAGGGGATACGGAGGGAAAGAATAGGAGAACAAAGAGGTTTGAAGAGACAAGATTGGAGGTTGGGAAGAGAAGGGAAGGGAGAGGAAACGCAAATTCTGTGGTTTTGTGGAGGATGCGGGCTACGGTGGACGACGTGAGCTCGGATAGCAATTTTGGAGCGGGGGAGAAGTTGATGGGGAAAAATGAGAGCTGCTTTTACGTTTTGACTTGATTTTCAGAGACTTGAAACACGATGACGACATCTTCGAACCGAGATCATTTCTTTCAGACATCGTGAGTCAAACTAATTCTTTGATCTTTGAATTAAAAAGGGTTAATTGACATCTCTCGCAGCGCATCTTTGGATGAGCAGGAGCGGAAAGATGCCAAGTCCCAGAACACCAATGGAAACCCTATTCGACTACAAGGCAAGATCCTAGCAGCTCATCCAGACCCCTGGAATACTGGATCGATTTATGTTGCACAAAGCAATGGCACCGTGAGAAGGATCATCCTCGCCGTAAGTTCAATTGTAACCTCAAAACTGTTTCAAAATCCCATTTTCTCACATTCTTACAGACGGGAGAAACAGCCAGGGCGTTTACAGGTCCTATGGCTCCCGTGACCAGTCTTTGTTTGAGTCCCGATGGCAAGCTCCTATTTGCCGGGTGCTGGGACAAAGCTATCTGGAGCTGGGACACGGCTACTGGCCAACCACGCCAGAAGTACGAAGGCCATGCTGACTTTGTTCGATCAGTTACCAGCGCAAGACTACGTGGGGATGACCTGCTCATCTCCGGTGGTGCCGATGCACAAGTCCTGGTGTTCAATATCACAAGTGGTGAGCGACTGGAGACCTTCAAGGGCCACTCCCGCGGCATCCAGGACCTTGCCCTTGACCCAGAATCAGAGAGCACCCAACCAATCGTATTTAGTGCAGGAAGTGACCGGGAGATTCGCCAATTCAGTATCTTTGGCGGTGGTAGTGCTACTGACCCTCTCCTTCCACATGACACCAGTGTCTACAAGCTCTTTTTCGATAATGACGGTGATCTCTGGACTGCTTCGGCTGACAAGACTGCCAAATGCTTGGTTCGAGAGGATGAGTGGAAGGCCAATCTGACCCTAGAGCATCCCGACTTTGTCCGTGATGTTGTCGTCTATGAAACGGGAGGCTGGGTTGTGACTGCCTGTCGGGACGAAGAAGTTAGAGTATGGAACCGATCGGTAAGGGCCTTTTTCTTTTGCAGTCTTTACATGGGGTATATGCTGATTAAAATAGACTGGAGCACTCCATCATACTTTCTCCGGCCACTTCGAAGAGGTCACTGGGCTTGTGCTTGTAGGATCAACCATTGTCAGTGTAGGAATCGATGCGACCATTCGCCAATGGTCCCTTCGACCCGATGAGCTTCAGAAAGCAGTGGAACTTGCAAAGAAGCCGGTAGAAAAGGAGAAGGAGGAAAAGCCAGCCGAATCAATGTTAACGGCGGAGGAAGAAGCAGAGTTGGCAGAGCTCATGGGGGATGATTAGATGATGTGATACCCAATTGTGTTTTGAGCATGTGTATACCTAGCAGAGACATGTACAGTGCACCGAATACCATATACAATGTAGACTATACAGTACTGTCTACAATATACAGTGCTCCTGCAACCGGGTATAGTATGAATCACGTGACCTTCCTGATGCAGCCATGACGCACAGGGCCGATCTCCCGCGACCTCGACCTTCGCCTCGACTCCCCCACCCAAATAGCGCTGGCCCGCACACGACTTTATTCTTCAAGACACGCTCCAACCCGCTCCGACCCCCCTCTAACCTCCCATTTGTCTCCCTAGTTACGAGATATTATTTGTCCTACAAGAAATTTATATCCCACGGACTCGATCACACGTGGGGTAGCTTCCGAAGTTGGGTACCTAGGTATTGTACTGCCGGAACCTGTTAGTAACCCCTCTTGAGTCTCGGACTGACGGATGTCTAGTCTCCGACCAGCAAAAGTATTGGAAACTCAGTCATAATGGCCGCGTCGATCAACCACTCACATCCACGTCATGATGTACCTGACGCAGGCCCAAAAATGGTCAATCGTTTGCACCAAAGCAAGTCTCCTTATGTGAGAGATGTATTCCCTTGGGAGAAATTGCAACACGCTCACGGAACAACAGGTTCGAGCACATATGAACAACCCGGTAGCATGGCAAGTCTGGGATGCAGAAGCTATGGAGCTTGCCAAGAAGCACAATCGTTTAATCTTTCTCAGTATCGGTTACTCCGCATGTCATTGTAGGTTACAACTACTCCACTGGGGGGGTACTTGTATTCTAATCTTGTCTAGGGTGCCATGTCATGGAAAAAGAATCGTTCATGTCATCAGAGGTGGCCTCGATTCTGAATGAATCCTTCGTCCCGATCAAAGTTGACCGCGAAGAGCGACCAGATATCGACGACGTCTACATGAATTATGTCCAGGCCACAACGGGTTCGGGTGGCTGGCCCTTGAATGTGTTTTTGACTCCTGACCTCGAGCCTGTATTTGGTGGGACTTACTGGCAAGGCCCAAACTCAACCACATTTACGGGCCCCGAGGCAATCGGGTTTGTGGAAATTTTAGAAAAATTGAGAGATGTGTGGCAGACACAACAGCAGCGTTGTCTCGACAGCGCCAAAGAAATCACGAAACAATTGAGAGAGTTTGCCGAGGAAGGGACGCACTCGCAGCAAGGCGATCGCGATAATGATAATGACGAGGAAATGGATATTGAGCTTTTAGAAGAAGCGTATCAGCATTTCGCATCTCGATACGACTCGGTCAATGGCGGGTTTGGCCGCGCACCCAAATTTCCTACACCGTCTAACCTCAGCTTCCTACTCCGGCTCGGTGCCTACCCGACTCAGGTCACAGATGTTGTAGGGCATGATGAGTGTGAACAAGCAACCGCAATGGCCGTCACAACACTAGTGAACATGGCCCGTGGTGGCATTCGGGACCACATCGGCCACGGATACGCGCGTTATAGCGTGACGACGGACTGGGGTCTCCCCCATTTCGAGAAGATGCTTTATGACCAGGCACAGCTATTGGATGTTTACGTGGACGCTTTCCGGCTCACTCATGACCCCGAACTTCTAGGTGCTGTCTATGACCTCGCTGCCTACTTGACGAGCGCCCCGATACAGTCGCCCACCGGAGGGTTCTTTTCTTCAGAAGATGCCGACAGTTACCCTCATCCCAATGACACCGAAAGGCGGGAGGGTGCGTTTTATGTCTGGTCGCTGAAAGAACTCACTTCAGTCCTCGGCGCTCGAGATGCTCCCGTTTGCGCCAAACACTGGGGTGTTCTCCCTGACGGCAACGTTCCACCCGAGTATGACCCGCATGATGAGTTCATGAACCAAAACGTGTTGTCCATCCGCGCCACACCGAGCAAACTCGCAAGAGACTTCGGTCTTAGCGAGGAAGAAGTGGTCAAGATCATCAAGTCATCAAAGCAGAAGCTGCACGATTATCGCGAACGAACACGCGTGCGGCCAGACCTGGATGACAAAATTATCGTGGCCTGGAATGGATTGGCGATTGGTGCGCTTGCGAAGTGTAGTATTCTGTTTGAGGAGATTGAGAGCTCCAAGGCTGTGCATTGTCGCGAAGCGGCAGCACGGGCAATCAGCTTCATTAAGGACAATCTCTTTGACAAAGCCACGGGACAGCTATGGCGCATTTACCGTGATGGAAATCGTGGAGACACCCCAGGCTTCGCCGACGACTACGCATACTTGGCCAGCGGGCTGCTCGACATGTATGACGCTACTTACGACGACAGCTACCTTCAATTTGCCGAGCGACTGCAAAGTGAGAATACCCCCTTCAATTTGAACGAGATCTTATGGCTAACTTGGCGATTTTAGAGTACCTTAATGAATACTTCTTGGCTCAGAGTGGCTCTACAGCTACCGGATACTACAGTACACCTTCCGTCACCACCCCTGGCATGCCTGGCCCGCTCCTCCGTCTGAAGACCGGCACCGAGTCAGCAACACCTTCGGTAAACGGAGTCATTGCGCGCAATCTACTACGCCTATCCGCTCTACTCGAGGATGAGAGTTACCGGACCTTGGCCCGGCAGACATGCAACACCTTCGCGGTAGAGATCATCCAGCACCCCTTCCTATTCGTAGGAATGCTGGACGTGATCGTGGGCCTCCAGATTGGCACTCGCACGGTGACGGGTGTGTTCTCCACCGCCGATATCTCCTCGATTTCTAATCCACGTGGCGACGCTCTCCTCAGTCGGAACGATGAGCCCGTGTCGGCACTCGACCTAATTCGACAACGGGTCCGGGCCGAGGCCGGCGTGGCCGTGTCCTCATCTATCGTGGTCACTTCGATTGTTGACATTCGCCCCTCACATCTGAAAGACTTTGTAGGGAATCAGTCCTTCTGGCTCAAATCCCGAAATGCGCTCGTTCAAGATTTAAAGGCCGGTGAGCCTGCCAAGAACTACTTGATGGTTTGTGAGGCTGGGCGATGTCGAATAATTGATCTCTAGGCGCTAGGAGCTTTTTTTTGTTACATTTTTCGATATTGACTCCACAGTTGTGTGCGGCAGTGGCGTTCTGTTTGGTTGGGTACGGGTGATGAGTATGCCCACCTTTGACTTAATTACTACAAGAATAGTCGGCCGCTTATGCGGCCTTATCATGTCCTTTTGGTCGTTTTTTAATATGTCTTTTCAGATATACGTGAAGGCGGTAGAAAGCACTATGCAGAGGACTTTTCTATAACCTTCGGTTTCTTCATATTGCGAGTAGTAATTTAGTCATCTACCGTCACTAACTAGTATGTCGTATATAGTCAAAATTGTACCAATTTGCCTGCCATGCGCATACTCCATCAATTAGGCTGCGAAGACCATCCGCATCCCGTACCAGCGATGGATCTAGTCGAGGTCAATATGCCGTTCATCATCTCATCTGCCTGACGCACATCGGCCAAAGTATATTTTCTTTTTGTCTGCCCTCGTGCATGAAGCTGATGTGCTAGAAAGGAACGTAAACTTTATCTCGTCCCATATCAACCACAATGGCGCGGTTCTAGGCCGTCTTTGATGTCTGATCTCCTAGAAGGTCACATCGTGCGCACCTTCTCTCGCCTGAAACTGCTGAAAGTGGAGGCCGAGAAAATTATGGAGTGGTTTGAGCAAAATGACGATGGCAACCAATGGACCGTCGTCCTTGGCCTGCGAGGACTAACTATTAAAAACCTCGGTAACGACCACCATACTAGCCTTGGGGGGGGATAGCCTACCGATTTCAGTGGAAGGGATCGATGGAGTTGATCAAAGTTGTTCCCTCCGGCAGCTATGAGGCGGCGGCTGATCGGTTCGTCGATGTCGTGAAGTCAAAGCTTCGCGCGATGGGTATTCCCTTCGAGGAATTGCTGTGGGGTGATTGAAACCGGAGTTTCCGATCCGTTGCGTCGCCTCCGCCAGGATGCGAAGAAATGGTTGGCAGACCCTAACGGTGAAGTGCAAACAAGATCTGAGACTGGAGAATGAACTAAGAAAACATTTTTATATGAAACGCTCTTTTAGGCCGGTTGTCCACATCTATTGATTTTCATTCTTTATGCTTAGGTATTGCAATATTACTTGACAATGACCGGCCTAATACTTTTCCTTGCGGGGTTGGCGAACGGTGGTTAGGTCTAGTTGCCAGTAATGAAAGACTGGTTACAGATAGCAATTATTCCACATTGGTCCTTCGATACCGCCTTCTTTTACACCTAAAAGATCTAAAAGACTCTAAATAGACATCTAACAAGCACATCTAAAAAGAACAGCTAAAAGACAACTAAACACCGCTAAAAGACCATCCAATTGCATCTCCCATAACATCTCACACTAAATGGTAGCACGTCCAACGTCGATCCAAGGTAAATGATCATTTATCAAAAATTTTCGAGAAATTTGTTTAAAGGTTACTCATGATAACTAGTTAACTAGTTAGTCAATGCACTTTACGTGATTCCAGAGCGGATCTCCTGCCGCCCCTCTAGACTGTGGATCCTGGGCTCAAATGCCGGAAAGGTGGATGTGCATGTTGAAGGCTAGAATCTACTACTCCATACTCCATACTCCATACTCATACCCTGTACGGAGTACCGCAGATGGGATCGTACAGGTAGAACCGATAATATGATGTTTTGGAATTTCCCCTTGTTACAATGTATAGGCGCCTGGTCCCACCATGATCCGTGGACGTGAGGTTGTACCACCGAATGTCACGCTCTGATTGGTTGGCCCATATTGATTTTGATCTTCCACTTTCAGGACGATCCATGGACAAATATTGGAAGCGGGCTGCCTAAAACTCAATATAAGAGAAGGCCAAAAAAGGGAAATCTCATTTCAATGCCGGGTATTCCGGAGAATATCGTTAATCCTGTTAATGAGTGGCTGAAACGAGGTTGATTGATTTAATATAACACAGATCCGCACTACCGAATCGGCCTTCAAGCCAAGTTTCTTAGCGGGATAAACGGGTGTCCAAGTGGGGAGGTTTTGTTTTTGTGATGGGCTGTTTTGATTGGTTGTTAAGGCTACGGGTGGACACTTTGAGCCCGTTCCTGGCTAAGGGGCTTCCAATGTTGACAATTGGCTTCGATCATACAAGATCTCGATTGCTCTTTCGTAGTACGGAGTACTCCATACGAAGATTTTCCTCCTGAAACCCACGGTACTTTTAATTACCTTATTTCTCTTCTGACTAGCGTACGTACTACGTACCCCAATATGTGGGCTTATAGATTGGTCCAGGCAACACTTCCAGCGGACCACCCGTGGACATGCACACATCCATCACATATCATATTCTTAATTTTAATTTTTAATAAGTCGATATCCTTAACACTTTAAAGGAAATTACACATAAATCTCGGAGAATATTGGCTTAATTTCTTAGCCAGCCTCATATCTGCGTGAAATGGTATCTAGGACTTGGAATGTACTATAGAATGTGCCACAGCAAGGTATGTTCAACTCTCAAGAGGCTGGAAATTCTACCAAAGAAAAGAGAATAAGTATAGGAGCCATTGAAGGCTTTCAAATGGTATAATAATTTTATAAAATAATTACTTGTTTGTTCCAATCTCCAAGTTCATTTGGACCTTCATTTAAAATTAATCTCCCTATTGTTCGCACGGCCCCACTTCTTCCTCATCTTCCCCTTTCTACATTATTTACCACATTAACCTCCTCTTCTCTCTCCTTCTCCCTTCTCTCCTCGTCCTCACCAATCTTTTCAGCCTGCATCTTATCTTTCTTTCACTCCTTGAAGAAAGAAGGTGTTTTTAGGCCTGCCACTCATTTATCCCTAACGTACACACTCCTTTGTCAACGCAGTCGATCTGCTTGACCCAATCTCCCTTTCTCTTCATACAAACTTCCTGGAGAAGTTTCTTTGTCTTCCAATCCCAACATGCGTTCTGCTGTCATCTTTGCCGCCTTGGCGGTTGGCACTTGTGCCAGGGTTATTCAGAAGGAGGTTTACGTGACCGACTGGACTACCGTCACCGTTACCGAGACTGTCACCCAGTGGCCCACCAACACCCCCAGCACCGCTGTTTTGGTCAAGCAGGACCACACCAAGCCCACCAACGCTCCCCTTCCCACTGTCGACGTTTCCAAGAAGGCCCCCGCTGAGGTCGAGTCTGCCCCTGCTGCGGCTTCTACAACCGCCGTGGCTCCTACTACCGCTGCCGCCGTGGTTGAGTCTGAACCCAGCAGCGCAACCACGTCCTCCACCACCTCGTCTTCGACCACCGTGGCCGCAATCGAGTCCGTGACCACTGCTGCCCCCGCGACTACCTCCGTCGCTACCTCTTCGGCCACCTCGACCACCGCCGCTGCCACTGCCGCCCCTAGCGCTGCCAACTCCTACCAGGAGTCCATCCTGCACTACCACAACCTTCACCGCAGCGCCCACTCCGCCAGCGGCTTGACCTGGTCCAACGACCTCGCGGGAGCTGCCCACACTCTCGCCTCGCGTTGCGAGTACGGTCACGACACGTAAGTAGTCATTCGTTTGGCTTGAGAAAAACAACCATACTAACGTTGACTAGTTCCATCGTATCCGCCAGCGGAGATTACGGTCAGAACATCGCATATGGTTACGATGCGGCTGAGGTCGGTGAGAAGATTATCAGTGAGATGATGTACACTGACGAGGCGCCGTACTTCGCCAACCTCTACGGCGAGGCCGACCCTGATATGACCAACTTCGAGAAGTGGGGTCACTTCACTCAGATCGTCTGGAAAGCTACCACTCAAGTCGGTTGTGCTACTGTTAGCTGTTCTGACTTGAAGAATGTTGGTGGTGCCTCCGCCTACACTGTTTGCAACTATGGCTCGCCCGGTAACTACGCCGGCGAGTATGCCGCCAACGTCTTGAAGCCCAGTGCATAAACGTCTCGGGATATACGGAGCTGTTGATTTGAGAATGCCACATCGGATATTCTTGTGTGGAGTGATCTAAACCCATTGATCTGTTCTTCTAAACAACATGTCTCCCCCATTCGCTTTGCGCCATCTGGATTTGTCTTCTTGTCTTTACCTTCTACGTCATTTGCATGTCCTGCCTCGATCGGTGACCTATACTGTATGTATGCAAGCGTGCTTCGTCCTTCTCCTTGGGAGGACCCATGGCAATGCAGATATTATTGTTCCATTGTGAATATTCTTTTGACTCCTTGTCTTCCGCCACTCCTGTGTGCGGCTCATCCTGTGGATAGCAAAATCTTTGGCGTCATACTTTTTTTTTTACATTTGCAAGCGTGATGTACTGTGTATCCCAGCGTATTATGAAGTTATCTTAACATCCTCCACAGAATCGTAGGATTTTCCATTGTAAAAGCAGTTGTACTTGGATGGTTATATGTTCTTTTTCAGCAATATGACACCGTGTCCACGTGATCACAAGCTTCCCCGCATGACCGGTCCCTTCGCCCGAAACGTCATTGGGACATGAAACCAGAGCTCATACCGATATACTTCAAATTCCAAGAAATTCTGTGTCGGGTACACGGTAGACCACTTCCTCCGTCCCGAGAGCCACCTTTTGATCTTTGTTAAAGAGCGAGTTGACCTTAATTTGTCGAACTCAACGCGGTCCAAGCTTTTGTTGTACATCTTCATCCCAAGCCAAGATACCTGCGGCAATGTGCAGGGTACATCAGTGATTGACATTAACCTTGGAAGTAAGTTCTTAGCCTAGTTTATCCGGTATCCCACCCTATCATCTCCCTCTTAATCACCCCCCACGGAGTGAGGGGCATATCCTCCCAAGACAAAGCCATTCCATTGTCATCCTTCATGGAAAAGGCTTTAGGTGTGATTTATACATGTTTCAAACCCTCAGAATCTCCCATGGCACCTAAAGGGGCACTATAGAGACCATAAACTACTAGTCCACGGGGTTCTTTTGTTGGCAATCATTTGACATCTGACAAACGGCACAGCGAAACTCATCCGTTTCTCCGGCGCTATCATTCCGTTCTTCCACCGTATCACCCCGGTCACGCTAACCCGCGCCTCGGGGTTGCATACCATTTGCACTACTGAATAGTGCTCTGTAAGTACCTTACTCAATCTGTGGTCTTTTCCTTTTCCCCTTAGGCCCGAGCCGGATCCACAGCCGTTGAGACCACTCTATAATCCCCCCATATAAAATTACCATGCTCTCTTCCTTGTCTCGCGCCACCTTGATTCCTTCTTGTTTCTGCATGATCTCTATTTTTGACCTTCGTATATTACCATATATCTTCTTTTCATCCCCTCGTCCCTTGCCCACCTGTCTGCATCTGCACATGACATAGTCTCAATGCCATCATACTGCCTCCAAGATTGTCACTACTTCTACCGCACAGCTCTTCGCCTCCTATCAATCCCCACCGTCCTCGCTAGTCGCTACGCCTGATTTACCTTTTTTTTTGCCCGGAAACGTTGAACACATCTAACATCATGTCTTATTCCTCAATGGCAGTCCGATTCTTCACAGCCCCCAAACCACTCGGTGATTCCATGGACACTGACTCAAACAAGAGGTCGGGCACTGACCTCCAAGGCCACACGGTCATGAGACCAAATGTCCCTACTGAACGGCCCTCCACTGAGGTTGCCGAACCCCATACCCCCAAGAGCCAGGGCTTGACTTTTGCAAACCAAGATTCGCTACCTAAGCTTCCTATTCCCGATCTGGAGGATACCTGTCGCCGGTACATAGATACTCTGCAAGGCTTGCAGAGCCCGCGTGACCATGAAGAGACCAAGGCCGCCGTTCGGGACTTTCTAAAGAATGATGGTCCTCTTCTGCAAGAACGGCTTAAGACTTATGCTGGTTCAAAGACAAGTTATATCGAGCAATTTTGTACGTCGATTCATAACCCAGGACTTGATGGGAGGTTAGCTGATCATTTCTAGGGTATGATTCTTACTTGAATTTCGATAATCGTAAGTTGGATTTCCTGTTAGCATTTTTGCGCCCATCTAATATCTGCAGCCGTTGTTTTGAACCTCAATCCATTTTTCCTTTTGGAGGATGACCCAACTCCCGCCAGAAATCACCAAGTTACTCGAGCTGCATCACTGGTAATCTCATCATTGGCATTTGTTCGAGCTGTGCGTCGGGAGGAGTTGCCTCCTGATACCGTGCGAGGAACGCCTCTTTGCATGTATCAGTACTCGCGCCTTTTTGGAACGGCACGTCTGCCTACCGATAATGGCTGTGTCATTAGCCAGGACCCCTCGGCTAAACACGTGGTTGTTATGTGTAGGGGGCAGTTCTACTGGTTTGACGTCTTGGATGACAATAGCGATCTGATCATGAGTGAGAAGGACATCTCGCTTAACCTGCAGGTTATCATTGAGGATGCGGCTCAAACTCCGCTTCATGAGGCTGCCAAGGGTGCTTTGGGTGTACTCAGCACAGAGAATCGGAAAGTTTGGTCGGGGCTACGCGATATCATGACCAAAAATTCCAGATCTAACAATGCGGAGTGTTTGAACATTGTCGATACCGCGCTGTTTGTCCTATGTTTGGACGACACAGAGCCATCCACCACGTCCGAGCTTTGTGCTAATATGCTTTGTGGCACAAGCGAAGTCGTCAAAGGCGTCCAGGTTGGAACTTGCACCAACCGGTGGTACGACAAGCTGCAAATCATTGTCTGCAAGAACGGCAGTGCCGGTATCAACTTCGAGCATACCGGTGTGGATGGCCACACGGTGCTACGCTTTGCCAGCGATGTGTACACCGACACCATCCTCCGCTTCGCAAGGACCATCAACGGTCAATCCCCAAGCCTATGGGCAACTAGCAGCCCTGACCCAGCGAAGCGCGACCCGCAAAGTTTCGGAAACGTGAGCACGACACCGCGAAAGCTAGAATGGGACATGACACCTGAGCTTAACATCGCGCTCCGCTTCGCCGAATCCCACCTGTCCGACCTGCTCTGCCAGCACGAATTCCAAGTCCTGGACTTCGAAGGCTTTGGCAAGAACTTCATAACCTCAATGGGCTTCTCTCCAGACGCATTCATCCAGATGGCGTTCCAAGCCGCCTACTACGGCCTCTACGGCCGAGTCGAAAATACCTACGAACCAGCCATGACAAAGATGTTCTTACACGGTCGCACGGAAGCCGTGCGCACCGTAACACCCCAATGCATAGACTTCGTCACAGCATTCTGGGGTGAGAACGCTGCCGAACAGAAAGTCGACGCCCTCCGCACCGCTTGCAAGAAGCACACAGACGCCACCAAGGAATGTTCAAAGGGTCAAGGCCCAGACCGCCACCTCTACGCTCTCTACTGCCTCTGGCAACGCTCTTTCGACGAAGGCCTTTTCCCAGACACCAGCTCAACAGGCGGTTACTCCAGCCCCGGTGAAACACAATCCCAGACGCAAAGCCAAGGCCCCGAATCACTAAAACTCTCCTCCTCGTCCCCTTCAGACGACGGCCTCTCCTCACCGGGAAGCAGCACACGCGCCTACCGCACAACATCCGCGCCAACACCCGCTATCTTCGCCGACCCCGGCTGGGACAAGATCAACAACAGCGTTTTGTCGACCTCGAACTGCGGAAACCCTTGTCTGCGACACTTCGGCTTCGGTCCTACATCCGCCGATGGTTTCGGTATCGGCTACATTATCAAGGACGACTCGATCTCGATCTGTGCGAGCTCCAAGCACAGGCAGACGTCACGACTTATGCACACGCTTGAGTCGTATTTGTTTGAGATTCGGAAGTTGTTGCGTGCGACGAATCGCAAGCCGACGAGTCCGCGTACTAGTCGCGCGAGAGAGACCGAGGCGCTGGCGGAGAGCTTGCAGTCTGAGTCTAGTCGGCGTGGTCGGCTTGTAAGAGGTGGGAGTGTGCCTGGTGCTGAGACGCCTACTTCGGCTGCTGATAGTAGCTTTATGGAGGATGACGGGATGGGAGGGTGTAAGTCTTCTGCTCTTTTTGGCGACTAGTATTGGCTCTTTTGCTAACTTGGTAATTCTCACTAGATGGATTCTTTGATGCTGGTATGCTTCTTCATGCGCTTAAGGGTCTCAATGCGGAGCGGGAACAGCGCGGCGAGAAGCCTGCTAGGCGGAGGTTTGTGGGGAAGAAGCTTCATCTGAATGAGTATTGATCGTGTCTGGTTGGAGCGGAAGACAGTTTTATTTAGTTAGTTCACTCAGCAAACGAAGTATAAATTTATATCTTGAAGAATTCTTAGTATAAAATCGGACATCCTCGGCAAATGTGGGGAAATCTCCGACACCGGATTAGCCGACTTAGCTTATAGCCTTCTTCACATATCTGAGTTTCAAATTCGACATTGCATATATTTCATTCTATAGAATCACCGTATCAATCTACATGTGTATGTGTATTTCACCCCGAACGCCATGACTTTACACGCCCTCCCAAAACGGGCGCCCCAGTTGCGGGCTCCCCTAACAAGGCACTTCACAACCACCCCCCGCACCCCCAGTTATGCGGACACGTTACCAAACCTCAAGATTGGTGCTCACACTAGAGTATTGTTTCAGGGATTTACGGGTAATTATTCCTGTTTGTTTCAATTGAGACGTGTCCCGCAATAGAATGTATGGAATGCTAAGCTGTACTACAGGAAGACAGGCGACTGCCAATGTCAAGGAATCTCTTGAATGGGGTACTAAGATTGTGGGAGGTGTTAAGCCTGGTGTTGAAGGTGAACATTTGGGATTACCAGTTTTCCCATCTGTCAAAGCGGTATGAGTGACATGGGGTTTTCTCTTGTCGAGGGTGTAATTTAACCCGTTGACTGACGAGCACCTCCAGGCACAAGAACGGGCAAAACCCGATGCATCCGCGATTTATGTACCGGGAAACCAAACCGCCAAAGCTATTGAAGAAGCCATTGAAGCGGAAATCCCGCTCGTCGTAGCTGTGGCGGAACATGTACCGATCCACGATATCCTTCGGGTATGAGTTATCATGATTAATCGTACTGGCAAAGGTTGAAGGATCTTTATTAACAGTATTACAGATCCACTCCATGCTCCAAACACAATCCAAGACCCGTCTAGTGGGCGCGAACTGCCCAGGAATTATATCCGCCATCGGCAAATGCCGAATCGGCTTCCAGCCATTACCTTGCTTCGCGCCGGGTAATGTCGGCATTGTGGCGAAGTCTGGGACATTGAGCTATGAGACTGTTGCGTCGACGACTCGCGCTGGACTTGGTCAGAGTCTTTGTATTAGTATGGGCGGTGACGTGTTGGCTGGAACAAACTTTGTCGATGCTCTCAATCTCTTTGAGAATGATCCTGATACTCGGGGTATTATCCTTGTTGGTGAGATTGGGGGTACGGCGGAGATGGATGCTGCTGAGTGGATCAAGGATTATCGACGGAGGACTGTGGATCCTAAGTAAGTCATTGTGTTTTCTGTTCTCTGGGGCTTTCGAATGTAATGCTGATTGATCTTGGATAGGCCCATTATGGCCCTTGTTGGGGGATTGGCAGCACCCCCTGGGCGCATTATGGGACATGCCGGGGCCTGGGCTGCACCTGGGGAACCAGATGCAGAAACCAAGTATCAAGCGCTTGAACGTGCTGGCGCGGTTATGGTCAACCACCCCGAGAAGTTCGGTGAAGGGATGAAGGCTTTGTTCGCGAATCAGTCTAGCCGGCCGGGTACAAGTGTGAGTGTGCTTTTTTGAATCCGATCTGAGGAATACTGACATACCCACAGCAAATTTCTGGGACTAGCTCACAAAAACGTGGATTTCATACTATAAGACGAGTTACGCCAATCTCGAGACCAACACCTGAACACAAGCGTAATCTGTACATTAAGCAGTTCCAGGCATTCGATATCCTCAAGCAGAAGTCTGTCCCTGTGAATGAGTCGGCTTCCAGCTTTGATAGTTCTGTTTCTGTTTCCATTACAGTCGACAGAACAGCTTTATCGCCATGCATCATTGCCTCGCCGTCATCTAACTTTAACACGGCTCAGTCGCAGAAATTTCCATTCCCTTACACTCAAACCGAATTCGAAAGCTCTGTCATCGCTGCTGTTGCCTCCCATTTGGGTCTTCCGGTCTCTACCCACAAGCAGCTTACAGAAATTGTACAAGCTCTTTGGGAAATTTACAAGGAGAAGGAGGCCTTTACGCTAGAGACACAAATTGGCATCTCCGCCGATGGTACTTTGGAAATCCACGGTGCGCGTTTCGGCTTTGACGATGCTGCATTCCGCAGCTCGGGCCGACAGGAAGATATTCATAAACTTCGAAATAAATCCGAAGAGGTTGCGGAGGAGGTTGAAGCTGAAAAGGACGGAATTGTTTACGTCAAGTATGTAGAAGCACATTCATGACTCCCGAAATTTATCTGTATCTTTACTAACATACAATAGGTTGGAAGGCGAAGGCAGCATTGGCACACTTGGTATGTATTCTTATCTACGCCTCATTCAAACGATAGGGGTGTTTACTCACAATATCACGCAGTCAATGGAGCCGGCCTTGCCATGAACACGGTCGACGCCCTCACTATCCACGGCGGCCACTGTGCGAACTTCCTTGACACCGGTGGCAAGGCTACTTCGGAGACTGTCAAGGCTTCATTTCGCGTGATTTGCTCTGATACGCGGGTCAAAGCCGTCTTTGTTAATATTTTTGGCGGACTCACTCGCTGTGACATGATTGCTGAGGGCATTATCTTGGCTTTCCGAGATTTGAATATGAAGGTTCCAGTGGTTGTGCGACTGCGAGGTACAAATGAGGAACTGGGGCAGAAGATGGTAAGTATTGATCTAGATATCCGCTACCATTGTCTAGTTGCTGACTTGGATATTCGTAGATCGCGGAAAGTGGCCTTCCTTTGCATGCATTTGATGGATTTGAGGAGGCCGCAAAGAAGGTGATCACGTTGGCTAAGGGCCAGTAGTTACAGCGTTTCCAAATGTATGTGGTTATACTAGACAGTGCATATCGGCATAGATCTCTGTCTCAATTTCATGAAACGATTTAATGAAGCGTCTAGCTCGCTAGCCAGTATTGAGCCTACAAGGCCTGATCTATTTTCTCAAGAGGAATAAAATATGAAAGTGACATAGGAGAAATATCGTCCACTAGATATTTAGGAAGCTTTTTCAATATAAATGATCAAATTTCCTCAAAAGTACCACGGTCTCGGCAAAAGGCAGTCCACGTAATATCTCGCGAGGATCAAATAAACCCCTGATATTTGCAACGTCGCTCTGGCTCCAGCAAAATAGGGTCCTTCATTTCCTTGACTTCTTTCGCTTCCTTCACTGGTCCAGCATAATCTGAACGCATTTGAGGGAAGAAGTACCCTGGAGGGGTGACACATAGGGCTATCACAGCGATAGCACACATTCTAGGATGCATAATATGTCAGCTCTTTCAAATGCCTAACCGGTTACCTTGTCGAAACTTAGCTTACAGTGATTCAAGGATAGTAAAATCAAGTTCCTCCTGCATTATGGGATTTTTCCACCCACCGGCCATCTCCGCGATACTGGGAACCCCAATATCAGTACTTAGCAGAAATTGAGATGATTTAGCCAATAACTTACCGATAGATGCAACGGATATAAGTTGTAACGAATGACACAAAAATACCCCAGAAAAACACCCAGAAATTGCGACTGTTCCAAACTTTTCGGGCCTTGACCGTCAATCCATCTTTCGGGGCGTTCTTTATACGAAGAAGAAAGTGGCCCGACATCACCCCAAATACCGTCAAGGTGACAACTTGCCAAACGATCCCGGCTAGCATGACATTGCTGCCCATATCACTGGCTTCGGATGTCTTAGCTGCTGCCGCAAGGCCACCGCCAGCGCCTTGGAGAATCAACGAAATGACATCACAGGTGACAAAGATGTAAGGATACCACTTCGCCCTTAGTGTCGAGTATTGTTGCCCCAGGACGTTCACGCCATGCTTTAGCGTCAAGTATATGGCCGCTGACCAAAAAGCGGGTGCTATTGTCAAAGTGCAAATTTGCGTCTTAAAGCCGACAGATGAATATGGGTTTTGGTTGAGCAATATCCGACCAAAATAGCCTATTTTATTTTGTCAATATCTTTCAAGAACAGTTGACCGGTCATTCTCTTGCAATGCAATTTGACGTACCAATAATCTCAGTCGAAGAACCGAGAAGCACAGCAACATTAAAAGACCATAGGCGCCATCGGATTATCTGGCCGAGCTGTATCACAGAACAAACACCGAATATCAAACAGAATTCGATGCTGAACACAAAGTCGGGCGCGTAGCCGTAGATGGTGTTCTCAACCGGGCACTGAGGAGTCACCTCCGTGCATTTGGTGGCCGCAGCACGGATTTCAACCATGACTCCAAGGGAATATGTTCGGATATTTTGTATAGAAGTCACGAAGAGAAAAGAGAAACCAACTTATTTTCTCTCTCAATATTTGTGTATGTCAAAGAACGATATAAATAGGCATAGATGTACACATATCCTTCTTACATATATCTTTCTTTGAAGACCCATGGTGCCCAGATTTCTTGACCACAATAAATCAAGTTCGCATGAAAGGGATGATTCCAGGGCAACCATTGTTTACTGTTTATTAGCCAAACCCAAAACACTCAAAGTATAGTAGATTGTTCTATCTTCACTGCCTAGTTAAAACTCCTATTTACCCTACAACCTAGACCCCTTCTTGTATAATGGTGAGGCCTTACAAGTAAATGCTAAGATCTGCAGAGCCTCCAATTTGTCGGTGGATGCACTTTTTCCCTGCTAGAATAAAGCCTCAAATGGGCCGATTCAAAGGTTAAGTGTGTCCAACTCATTAACTGTAGACAGCCTAAACCCAGATCAGCAGTAATACCATTGAAGCCGGTCTAGGTAGCAGCCACAGTCAGTGGGTTGCTGTGATCCGGATGATAGCCCCCCGGCCCCGCAGCTACACCTATTACCGGGTTATCTGGGTTCTAGTTGAATTATTAGGGATCTGTGCATCGTTTCGAAGCGTGTCCACTTCTCGCTGATGTTTGCATGCAAGCGTCCCCTCTGTGTAGAGGTTTTATATAAAGAAGTCGGGACCGGGAGCGACTAGGCGGAGTGCTCGGCTTTTGTGCCTTCCGGGTGTACCAGCTCAACAAGATGTTTGACACCGATGGATTGTTGAATCTCCCAAACATCTCCAGAGCCTGTGAATTGTATCTCGTAGACCCCGGTACTTTTCAAGGCGATGGTTTGGCCGACCAGGCTGGCCAGAGCGGCGATAGTAGCAATAGCGTACTCCATGTTTTAGTCTAGATATGGTGCTGCTCCGCACTCTTATTGTTATATCGCTTCATCTGATCCAGGTTACCAATAGCTTAATACTCCATATAGATACGGAAATGATCTATAAGCCAGTTTCTTTTTTGCTGGCTTCAGGGCTTTCAATATAAGGGATTGAATGAGGACTTGGCATTATGTGCTTCGAAGTCGCTATAAGTACATTAAACCCCTTATGAATTTATTAAAAACATGTTCGATTATCATTATTATCCCTGAAATAAAAATAGAAGGCCACATTGATGCCTGACAATCCTGAGGCACAAAGCCGAACCAGAAAGGTCTAGCCCTTTTTTTTTCTCCACGATCGACCAAGGATGCGACCCGGCGCTGACGCCATTAGTTCTATTTCGAGCCGACTCGCACCTTTCTTAAATTGAACGGTATACTTAATACTCCTGTTAACCATTAACCACCCCTCTTGTATATTTATTCCCTGTTACACCCGAACTTCCACGTGCCAGTGCTATGTCTGATCTAAGCGTCGAGCTCGAATCTTCACTCCGCAACCTATCCATAGGTGAAAAGGGCCCAGTGCAAGACATCTCCCGACCAAATGTGAACAAGCTCCCAACAGCAGCCGTGACCTCAAATATCAAGTCCAATCCCAAAATACCCCGCAAACCCGTCGCAGACTCCTGGGAAGACGAAGCAGACCTCTCCGCCCCGGAAGACGAGGAAGCCCAGCCCCACGATGAAGATGCTAGCTCGGTACTCTCGCCAACCATCAGCGCCGAGGGACCGCTAGATCCCCCACCTACACCTATCTCCCCGCAGACCTCCAACCCGTGGACGGCGAGAGCTACTTCCCCTGCTTCGGCGCGGGGAGCTCCTACCCGTCGCCCGGAGAAGCAGACTGCTGTTGCGGAGCGGTTGATCGCCGGTGCATTGGGGATCCGCGCTCCGAAGCGGACGGAGCAGCAGCGCGCTTACGATCGCTCAATTAAGGAACAGGAGATTCGGAGGCGTGATCGCGAGCGCGAAGAGAAGGCTAAAGCTAAAGAGGAGGAAGAGAAGATGAAGGCTTCTATTTGGAACAGTTAGGTTACTTTGAAGGGAAATCTTGAATCATATTAGGAGCGATTGGCTCTCGATAATATGTGTACATATTGTTGGATTGGACTTGTTTATATGTCTTCCTGCGTGGTGGATTATCGTGGACCAAGGAACAGGTGGCTCTTTGTTGTTTTGTGTGTTTCCTTGAACTTTAATAGCCCAGGAGGAACAGCCGTCTACAGGTGGCCAATCAACTGCGGGTTCTCTGGCCCTGGAATTGATTGATAACTCGTTGTTTGAGGCGACCAGTGATGGAAAGGCCCAATGTACAAAAGCGCACATAGTATATATCGATGCGCAAACTTGCATCAAGATCTAATATACCATTCAAGGCAATAAACGAGACAATATGTTATAACATTTCCACTCTCCTAGAAAAGGTTAGTTTTTACTAGTTTGGCACAAGCCCCGGTTTCTGAGTCCTAGGTCTAAATACAAAGCCTAGGCCAAAATAAAACTACGTCTACACGATGTGTTCGTGTTGACCTCGAGGGAAACCTGTTATAGTGAAAGCACCCTCAAAGTCTGCAAAGAAGACTAGGTGACCTTTGATAATCATCATTCATAAGAGAAAAGAAAAAAGCAGTATGAACGCCGCCCCTTCGCCCATGGGCCGTCAATGAGGATCCTCTATCCACTGCTGGCCACCAGACCTAGCGTATCCCCCACGTATGTCACCCTAGCAGCCTCGTTTCGTTGGGAAGTGCGACTCTAGAATGTAGAGCTTGTGGCCTAGCAACCTCCAATCTGCTCTTGGTGGACCTCCAAGGTGTCACCATCCGCCATATCGAGCTATTTGCGGTCAGTTTCAAAGTTCCGAGACACCAATGGATGGCGAAAAAAGAGAGGGGAATATCCGTACAGTTTCGGGCGAATCTTCGGGGCGAACCCGGGTGCCGTCAAATAGGAAACGGACAGTGGAAATTTGCTTTCCTTGACGTTCACAAAAAGCGTCCATTAGTTTCTTCAGCTGCGTTGTGCGCTTGATCTTGAAGAAAACTTCGTTGTTGTTATCAGTCACCTTAATGTTCAGGTGCTCGGTAGCGGGAGCGGCGCCTTCTTTGTCGGACATGATGAATGACTGTTGTGGTCTGGATTTCGTTAGACGGCTACTCCGTATGGGACACGGAAATGGCGACGAGGCAGAATGCTTACAACGGTAGAAGCGAGTTCAGGAACCTGTTCAAGCGGGGCTTTGAATTATGCCTGAAGAGTTTAAAGATGGTTAACCACGATTTCAACGCTTTGAAGGGGAAGCACAACTGAATTACGAAGTACTCACCTAGAAGACGAAAGCTCGGAAGCGAGATAGTGAAGGTTGTGGAAACGGCGAAGTTAGAAGAGAGAGGAAGAAGAGACAGCGGCGGCGGCAGAATAGCGCACTCGCCCCACGGTCTGAAGGCGGAGAATCTATTTTGCGTTTGGCTCTTCTATCACTTTCGTCACTTCTAAGGAACAGTGTGTCTACAACTCTTTGTACAGTACAGTCTTTGATAATTGCATTATGGTATGAAATTTATCATTGTGGACATATTGCCTAGATGCTAAAGACCCTTGTAGGGTAATTTAAAGCAAGATCTGTCACACGATCAACCTTGCAAACCGCGTGCTGTATGTGTCCCTGTCCTAAAAGCGTCCATTTAGAGTGCCTAAGTGGTATTGCTAGCTCTTACTGACAATGCAACAGTGCGCCATTCAAGGTATTTCCCAATTGAAAGCATACTCATACAAAACAAAGGCCTAACCAAAGCCAGATTGCTTGCAGAAAAACTCCTTTAATGAGGACAAATGCCAGGCACAAATTGATGCTTTGTACGAATGCTGTAATGCCTTCTACCAAGCGCAAGGTGACCAGGCGTCTACCCTCAGCTGCCCTAAAGCAAATTTGCTGCGGCTGAAGATGAAGCAACGAGCTCAAGCAGCAGAGAAGCAGTGAGGCCTTTTATGTATTTTTTAAGTTTCAAGTGACCCATGTCGAAGATGGAGGATGTCACAATTCCCTTGCGGTCTGAGGTTCCATATGGAGGAACCCAGGCTAATTGAAGAACTGCATTTATTATAAGACAATCGTGAGCACGCAAAGAGGCCTCATGGACCTGTACGAAAATTGAGTTTTCATACCGAGACTCTAATGAAAGCCTATAGACATTAGAGAAGAAAAGAAAAGAAAGACAGAAGGGCGCGGGCGAAAATTCGTTCAAATAGCTTCTGGTGTTGCCGCTAGTCCTATTTGGGGTTAGTCTGTCAACGCGAAAACCAAAAGAGACAAACACAACTTATTCCACAGAGCTCCTCTCCAGGGCTCTCTCTCCTCCCTTCTATCTAAGTTTCCCCATCATGGCGCCTTTAACTCGATCGGCTGCTGGGGCATTCACACCGGTGTGCCCATGTTCTTTTCTCTTTGCTTTTTGTTATCTTCTAACCCTTTGTTTAGGTTGCCCCGAGGCAAACTGAGGTCATCAGTATTGACGATGATTCGCAACAATCTTACGATGAGGATGAAGAATTGGAGGACGAGGAAATGAATTCGGAAGATCAATCTGAAGACCAATCTGAAGATCAGGATGAGGACATGGACGAAGATATGGATGGCGACACCGTATCAGAGACCGGGTCCGATGTTTCTGATCCTGAGCCTTCTATGCAGTCTGCCTTTGGTGTTTCGGTCAAGTCTCAAGGTTGGTCCAAGAGCTACTGACTGAATCGCATTTACTAAATTCTATCCCAGATGCCCCGCTGTTCACCGCCGCAGGCGCCCAGGAAGCACTGCACCCCCTTCGCCGGACAGCTGACCGCGTCACTCGCCAGATCGAAGCATTTGCTGATAAGCTAGATCAATTCAAGCGCGACAATTCAACCGACGATTTCAACAGCGCCCAGGCAGCTTACAAGCTCGTGCAAAGCTACCGCGACATTGCGAACAATGCGATCAAGGAAATTGAGACCCAGCAGACCGTGGACCGGACAAAGACAGGCTTCCGGTCGAGCGGGTCGCAAGACACCAAGAATTACGAGGAGATACGGCGGTTACAACTCGAGGCCGACACTTGGCGCCTCCTACTCAACTTGATCAGTATTGACGACCCCTCCAGCCGGGCCAGTTACAAGGCCGGACGACAGACAGCTTTCCAGAACCTTCACCGCTACTCAAGCGATCGCGAGATCTGGGAAGAGTTCCTCAATGCCGACCAATATGGCCTTGAATGTGTGGTTGCTATGCGATGGTTGGAGGAGACCTCCAAGACAGGAAGCCAAGAGTTCGACACTCTGATCGCGGAAATGGAGCAACAATCGCGAAGGGGCCAAGGATCATGGACAGCCGGTTGGCTTTATACCAAAGAGTCGATCAAGGGCCACAAACGTTTGCGCGCCTGGCCACAGCCTCTCGACCCCAACGACCCGGGAATCTCGCGCTCGCTTTTGAGCAAGGTTGAACAGAAACCGCTAGTCACTCAACTTGACCCCGATGCCATTACTCGTCAGAAGCACGGTTTAGAAAAGGAGGACGAATTCTTCGAGCGCGCCACCTGGATAACTTGCTGGAAGATGCTCAGACAGGGCGAGAACTGGACTAAGATTCGTGAATGGGCAGAGACTCGTCTGGAAGGATGGAGGGCCGTCAGCTTGTGCGGCTCTAGTGTGGATCCCAGGTCAGGAAGTTCTCGATACCCATCTGACGATGGCCACACACGTTTGATGAACAGCCGATCCCACGATTCATGGCGCACCGCTTGCTCTGCGCTAACACGCGACCCAAATACCGATGAATTCCAGCGAGCGGTCTACGCCTTGCTTTCTGGCGAAACCGATGCTGCGGCCAGTGTCTGCCGCAGCTGGGACGACTTCCTTTACGTGTACTTCAACCGCGTCGTACTCTCGCGCTATCAAGGATTTTGCAAACAATTCCAGCGGAAACTGAGCCACTCCCCGAACACCCCTGTGGCATTCATACCGGAACCGGCTGGGCACGCAGAACTTCAAAAGTTCCTTGTCTATCTCAGGGGCAACGACCGGGTCAGCGGCGAAGCACGTAATCCGTTCCGCAACATCCAGGCCGCGATTCTCAGCAAAGGCTACGACACATTCTTCACTTCTCTGGCTCACGCTGTATCTCAGGTCAGCACCGACAAGTATGGGAACAGCTCTGTTATCCCGGAGATTGCGCGCAAGCCAGTAGATGAATCTTTCCTCATAGCCGCTGATGATGAAGAAGCTCTCAGAATTGCATCTCATGTTTACGTTGTGGCCAGTGCCAGGGGCTACGCCCGCGTGGATGCCCATTTCGTTGAAACAGCGTCGGTCATCGTGGCTGGACATATTGCCAACCTGGAAGATAGGGGTCTATTCCACCTTGTTCCTCTTTACGTGTCTCTCCTCCCCGCGCAAATGGGACACGAAGTTCTATCCAAGATTCTCATTGAAATTGTTGACCCACAAGAGAAGACACAGCAAGTTCGGCTCGCGCGGAAACATCACATTGACATGGAAACTGTTCTTGATGTTCAATGGTCGTGGGTGAAGGAAAATGTCTCTGCGATTGAACATTCTAGAGGGGTCACTGGTTATTCGAGAGTGCTGCGACGCCCTGATGGTTCCCGGGCTTTGGTGTCACCCAAGACCGACTTGATTGGGACCTCCGTCGCTCCTGAAGACGACAGGATGATTCGCAGTCTGGAGTGGCTTCGCTACATTGATGGCCAGTGGGATAAGATTTGCGATCTTGGATCCTGGCTATATCGCAAGTTTTTCCGTATGTTTTTGTCCCTTTTGCTGTTGAGAAACCGTCCGGACTGACTTTTACTAGTTGCTGATAAGCTTGCCGCTGCTCGCGAGTTGAGTTTCCGTATTCGGTTGGCTGATATCTCAATCGAAAAATTCGGATCCGATATCATTTCCATGCCTCCGCAAGAGGGGGCAAATACCGAGTCAACCACGCCAACTAGCCCCACCAAATCAAAGAGAAACAGCCTCCACCGGCGAAGTCTTTCCGGCTCCAACAACATTGCACTGGTTTCGGCATACTACAAAGCTCATAGGGTTCTAGATCTGGAGAGTTTGGCTCTCGGGTTTGATGCGGTGGAGCAATTTGCATTGGTGCACGAGCAGATGTCCAAGTGAGTCCTTCCTTCCCCTATTTCATCTCACCATCAAAGCTAACCAACCCAGGACCAAACGTCGACGTGACTCGGGCACCTTAAAGGGCATGGGTCAAGACATGAACGAATGCGTGACTATTCTAGAAGATTGGGTTGGCGCAGTGGTCGTTGAAGACTGGCTACCCACATCTACCGATGGTATGTACTCGATGTTTTCGCATTGGAATCTCAAGACTAACTGTTTCCTACAGCCGAGGAAGAACAAGACTTCGAACATATTCGGACGACCTACATTCCGGAGCTACTTCTCGATTGGCACAACGCCTTGTACTACGCCAGTCATACCCTCGAGCGCCACGACCTGTTGACATCCTGCATGATTGTGTCTATCTGGGCTGCAAACTACGAGCACATCACCCGTGCGTTTACAAAGTCACGACGCATGGCCGAGCTTGTTGATGTGCTCGCTTTGTCGAGCAAGGCCTTGGTCATCCGGGACTCCAGCCAGCGCAAGTCCCCAATGGACCACACCACCTTCGAAAAGGGCCAGGAACTGAAGATATGGGATGTCACGATCTCTGAAGAAGAAAAGAAGAGACTTGGGATCGTATCGTCCGCAGATCGGGAGCAGTAGATCTAGCGGTGATTTGTTCTGTGTACATTAGCATGGGATTTGAGTGGTTTTGAGTTTTTTATTAACGGCGAGGCTCTGGTATGAACGAAACTGGGTCAAATATGGAAGGAGGACAGGTTACTTCGTTTACTACAGCTACTACATGTCAATAGGACATCTACGAATGCACCACATCGTCTTTTGTCAACAATATACTCCTGTGTCGTCCTAGCCATGTATTCAAAATACCTAGTTTAGATCTACCTGACTCTCTCATCAAGGGCTGCAATCTGACCTCCCTTTTATGCAGGTCAGTTCTCGTAGCTGAAACTTCTGAGAGTGTAAAATTCAGTGTTCCTGCACAAGGTAAAGCTTGGTGGCCCTACAGCTTGGATATGACCAATAAAATCATCTCTGATTAGACTAATCTATACAAACAAAGAATTGTCCTGGAAACTGGGTGACACCATCATTTTCTTATATTGCAGTCCCAAGCCTTATCATTCTAACTTGGTCATTTTGTCATTCTATAACTCTGCTAGCCATACTGCAATCTGTCCACCACATTACACCCACTATGACTATTTCATCAATCCCTGAACCACGACGCCCGATAGTACATCTCAATGGCTTCCCAGGAGTCGGAAAGCTCACCATCGCCCGTTCCCTCCAAAAGCAACTCCCCACCGCCAAACTCGTCCATAACCACCTCCTAATAAACCCCGCCGACGCTGTTCTCCACCGCACCCAGCCAGGCTATCAAAACCTCCGCCGCGGAATCCGGAGCTCTATATTCTCCGCCCTCGCCAACGAGCCCGCAACATTCAACACCACTTACATCTTTACGGATTTCCAAAGCGACGACGACCTCGGCGCGGCCGTGTGCGCAGAATATCTCGCCACTGCAGAAGCACGTCGTGCCGTTCTTGTACCTATCCTGCTCTTCTGCGACGAAAAGACCAATATGCAGCGCCTGGTCTCGTCAGATCGAGAATTACACTCGAAGCTGACTGACGTGGAGCTTGTCACCCAGTTCCGCCGTGAGGGGGATGTACATCGTTTCACTGGTCACCCAAATTATTTGGAACTTGATGTGTCTAATTTCACGCCAGAGGAGGCGGCGAAGCGGATATGTGAGCACATCATCGGTGTTTGTCCGGAGTTATAAGATGGGGGGATGGGGGGTAAGCAACGGCGCGCCCTTGGGCTTACTAGAAGGAACAGCTATGGGGGCCTATTTCCTGCCCATTCTCAGTTTGATTTGCACCAAAAAGAAAATCAAATATAAGGAATCTTTGAATAAGGGGGTCATCGGGTTGTCAGGGTCTTACCAGCAGCTACAACTAGATCGTTACTGGTATGTTGGAGAGTGTCGGGATTCGACAGTTGGAGCAAGTAAGAGACGGGGAAATAAAGTCCAGCCTAGTAAATTAATAGAACTTCATTGATAGTGGGTGAGAAGTAAGCAGACGTGATGGAGGTAAAGTTATAGAATCTGTATAGGTAGCAATTGTGCAAGTTTGTGAATTGAATACAGGATGTGGATAACAAGTGAAGACTCACAGCACAATAGAGCATTCAAATTTATATATATTCCAGCCTACAGTCTGGCCCCTACCGTCACGCTGGAATTTCAGTGCCTCAACCTCAAACCGAAATTTCTCCGCAAGACTCAGCACGGCCTCATCCCTATCATTTGGTCCCAGTTAGGTGGTTGTATATCCTGATAATCCTCGCTATAGAGTGCGGGGCCTCAGACAGCGATATCGAGTTGCTGGGAGGGAGAAGGCTCGTGGATTGGGATGATCTTGGTATGGGCGTGGTGGCCCTCAAACCCTTCAAAGAACATTCCACATTGAGGAACCCCAAGACCTGCCATCAAATCACGAGTAGTAGCTTGGCTGAGTGCATTGGGTGAGTCATACTCCTCGTCGGCGAGGTTGAGGAGATCGGGAGCCAGATGAGTGCGAGGTACAACGATAGTATACCTAGGAACTTTGCCCCTTAGGCTTTGCTCTTAAGAGAGGTCATTGCGGCATGTCTAGCATCTTCCCAGATACGGTGCTGCGGCAGATCGCCCCTGATAATGCGGGCCATGAGATCTAGATCAATATAAAGTGAGGTTAATTCGTTGAAATGAAACACATTGATACACAGGCATAGACACCAAAGGGAGAGGCAGTGATCTGGGGTATCGGGGACATATGCAGTGATATAGAGCGCGCACATATATACAAGCAGAACACCTGGACCGTGCGGGTAGAGCCGTCAGCCGATAAACTAAGCATATACATATCAAAGATCATAACCAACTGCAGCAACTGTCTTACAGCAGTGATATTATCAACGAGAGACGAACCCTCTTGTGTTCACGCGGGGCCGTCGCGGGCCCGAAGCCCGGATGGACTCCCCCACTCACGAACATGGACACCTACATTAGCCTCGTCTTCGTCTTCATGGGTAGCACTCTGCAAAACACGCAATGCCAACACGCCGCCAAAGAACTCATAATGTAGCCGATAGCGGTGATATTGGCCTCCGTGGTCCCAGATGCAACAAACAAGCGAGGAGGAAAGTCTCATCGTCCCAAGTCCCAGTCTGCAAACAGGAATTGGTATCGTTTGCAAGTCCAAAATGATACAATCGTTGTGAGTGGTTGTAGGTCTGGTCGGGGAGGTATGTGCGTGCATCGACATTGATGCGCTGTGCTAGTGTGGTTTCTGGGATTGGGGTGAGGGGAACGGTTGGTGCTGGGTTAGGTGAACTGGTGAGGAGGTCTTGGGCAGAGGCCGGGGCGGCGGTGAGGCCGTGTTTGTTGGTTGGGTTGGACATTTCCTACTTTTGAGGCTTTTTGGTTTTGATTGGGCTCTGTATGTTTGGGAGATGAGAGGGTTGTCGGGATTAGTTTGAGAATAGGATTTTAGATTTGGTGCTATCTTTTGATATATTTCATGTGTTACTTTGGGGCTGATGGAAAATTTGTGGTATGGGAGGTATATCTTGTACAACGTAGTTATATATGCCCGATCCGGCTAGTTTGGATTGTCGTAGAGGACCGAGCTAGGTCTACTTTATGTGCCCCGTGTAACGGTTCTAAGGTTTAATGGGTGCTTAAGCCAGTCTAATGCAACGTGTTTACGAAGTACATTGATGTATGCCGTACGATGCTTCGATGCAAGGATCAGATGTGGTCTGAGTGTGGCTGAGTCCATGTTTATGTGGTGCTATCATCCCCAATGGCAGGTTCCTTGGCATGAGAAACCAGTTAGACTTGGGATGTTTTACTAGTCCGTCAAGTTCCAGAAATCAGAGTTTGATTTTATAGATGAAAAAGGAAAAGTCTTGCACATGCTACGTCGGACTCCGTCAACGTCGATCATCGTTGTAAATAGGGGACGTCACCACTTTGTTCAAGGGCATCTTAAGAGGCTGGATTAGAGATAAATACATAACGTCTGGGCTTTAATAGAATCTGTTAGATCTTTTTTCATTTTAAATTAGATCCACGTTATCCAACATTATTCAAGCTCTCGAATTTTTTAATTTGATTTTTCCATATTGCCCCCTTATTTTGCCGAATCAGGATGTTGAGTATGTCCATGTCTTGGCAAGTGAGGCAGTGCAGGCGCTATATAGCTTGGTATTGGTCTTTGCGGGATTTGCTCCTTATTCGTTAATTACCCATGTAAACATGAAGAATTTTCTTAATTTTTTTACAGACAGGAATGTTATAAGATGATGGCTTATATCATGGGTTATATGGAGTACACAGTCTACTGTAATCTAATCAGAAATACAGTAGTACAGTAGTCGGGGCTGTGCAAGCGGATACCTAAAGTGGAGAAATTGAAGGCAAAAAAGGGAAGAAATCCAATGCTACGTAGGTAATCTAGGTATAATCTAGGTATAATCTAGGTATAATATAGGTATAAACTTGGTATAAACTTGGTAATCTAGGTATACTCTAGGTATACTCTAGGTATAATCCAGGTAATCTAAGTAATCTAGGGTACTCCCGTAACGAGGTTCTCGATCGTCGGGTGGAGAGACAATTGACGTCTCCAACGGGGGGGCAAGTATTACCTTGCCGCTTGCCGCTTGCCTCTCCTATCTTTTACACTTTACACTCTTTCAACCCTTACCTTACAACCTGGGGAGTTCAGGAGTTTATGGAGTCCTTATCATTCTCTACTTTCTCCTTATCCATATGAACTACCCCGTCTACAAGGGTGTGTGCCACGCATGAATCGCGCATTGAATAGACACTCCCACAATGTCTGACTCGCGCCCAAAAGATGAGCCGGGCCAATCAACCCTGCGCAGAGAGCGCGCGCCGACCATTACCATCGACACCTCGGCCGTCAACTCCCCTGATACCGAACACCCCCCCATCCAAGTCCTCTCTGGAGGATCACAGACCTACACCGATAATGCACAAGCCCCCGACACAACAGCACTGCTAAACAATGGCAGTGTTTCCCCCACGGATATGCGGTCCACAGCCTCGATTCGCTCCAATGCCTCCTCCGAAGCTCGGGAACGAGAGAGCCGGCCAACCTCTCCACACAACATCTCATCGCCCAAGACGAAGGCGCCTGAGGCACACTCAAACTTCCTTTCTGTTCCTGGAACACGTTCCCGAGGCAACTCCTTGGAGTCGGACGAGACTGGCCAAACGTCGAGCACCTACGGCGGCGAAACATACGTGCCCTCAACATCGCACGAATCGAGATCTGATTTGGCCAAAAACGCTGCCATAAACGACATACACGATGAGGATGCCCTGACACCGGACCCTGGTCGCGAATCCGAGTTCGAGGTTGAGGACAACAAGTTTGCTTTTTCCCCTGGTCAGCTGAACAAGCTTCTAAACCCGAAAAGCTTTAGCGCCTTCCACGCGTTGGGCGGCCTGCGAGGATTGGAAAAAGGGCTTCGAACTGATGTAAAAAGCGGCTTGAGTGTTGATGAGACAACCCTTGACGGAACAGTTACTTTTGACGACGTTGTTTCACCTGCCTCACCCGCCTCATCTTCCTCGCCAAAGAAAAATATACTTAAGTCTTCCTCTCCGAATACATCAGCGACACCCGCCGCCGAGGGTTCCATCGTAACCCCGGGCGGAGAAGATTTCTTCGACCGCAGACGTGTCTACGGGGATAATAGGCTTCCAGAGAGGAAGTTGAAGTCTATCTGGGAGCTTGCATGGATTGCCTACAACGATAAGGTGTTGATCTTATTGACGGTTGCAGCTGCAGTTTCACTTGCTGTGGGAATTCCGCAATCGCTCCATCCAGCAAATCCCGATGAACCTGGCGTTGAATGGGTTGAAGGTTTGGCCATTCTCGTGGCCATTATCATCGTGGTTACGGTCGGTGCAGCGAACGACTGGCAAAAGGAACGACAGTTTGCGATCCTCAACAAAAAGAAGGAAAATCGACAAGTCAAGGTGACGCGGTCCGGCCGAACGGAGGAAATTAACATCCACGATGTCTTGGTTGGCGATTTGATGCTTCTGGAACCTGGTGATATGGTCCCAGTTGATGGGATCTTGATCGAAGGCCACGACCTCAAGTGCGACGAATCTTCCGCTACTGGCGAGTCTGACGTTCTCCGTAAAACTCCAGGCGATGAAGTGTACCGGACAATCGAGCAACACGACGACCTGAAGAAGATGGATCCTTTTATCATTTCCGGTGCTAAGGTTTCTGAGGGCGTCGGCACGTTTTTGGTCACTGCTACCGGTATGCACGCCACCTACGGCCGGACGATGATGTCCCTCCAAGAGGAGGGCGAGACAACACCTTTGCAAACTAAGCTCAACAAGTTGGCTGAGTACATTGCCAAGCTCGGCCTCGCTTCTGGTTTGTTGCTGTTTGTGGTCCTTTTCATCAAATTTTTGGTTCGCCTCAAGGACATCACAGGTGGTGCAGATGAAAAAGGTCAAGCATTCCTGCAGATTTTCATTGTTGCTGTCACAATTGTCGTCGTCGCGGTACCTGAAGGTTTACCACTGGCTGTCACGCTCGCTCTGGCCTTTGCTACCACACGAATGCTTAAAGACAACAACCTGGTTCGCTACCTCAAAGCCTGTGAGACTATGGGTAATGCTACCACGATTTGCTCTGACAAAACTGGAACCTTGACGGAGAATAAAATGACTGCAGTGGCTGCGACGCTGGGTACCACGTCTCGGTTCGGAAAGTATTCTGGTGTCTCGTCCGATGACCAGAGTGAAATAACCCCCTCGGATTTCGTTTCTACCCTATCGTCCTCGGTGAAGGATGTCTTACTCCAATCGATTGTGTACAACTCAACCGCGTTTGAAGGCGAGACGGACGGAGTTAAGACATACATTGGATCCAAGACAGAGACTGCCCTCTTGACTTTCGCTAGGGATTACCTCGGGATGGGCGCTCTTGGCGAAGCGAGAGCAAACGGCAAGCTCGCGCAGATGTTCCCATTCGACTCAGGCCGCAAATGCATGGCAGTGGTGGTCCAGCTAGAGAATGGAAAATACAGAATGCTAGTCAAGGGTGCTGCGGAGATTCTAGCGGCCAAGTCGACCCGCATCGTCCGTGACCCCACTGACTCTCTGTCGGAGGCTCCTGTTACTGACGAGGAGAGGACTTCACTGGACAACATTATGAACAACTACGCCACCCGCTCTCTCAGATGCATTGCTCTGGTTTACCGTGACTTCGAACAATGGCCACCCCGTGGGGCTCCTACTGCGGAAACCGATCGCAACCAGGCAGTCTTCGAACCTATCTTCAAGGACATGGCAATGTTGGGAATATTCGGTATCCAAGACCCTGTCCGAGCAGGTGTTACCGAGGCAGTGTACACATGTCAAAAAGCTGGAGTATTTGTTAGAATGGTGACTGGTGATAACATCGTAACCGCTAAGGCTATCGCCCAGGAGTGTGGTATCTACACACCTGGTGGCATTGCCATTGAGGGTCCCAAATTCCGCAAGCTGAGCTCACGCCAAATGAACCAAATCATCCCAAGACTCCAGGTCATCGCCCGCTCTAGCCCCGACGATAAGAAGATCCTGGTGAACCAACTCAAGAAGCTTGGAGAGACTGTTGCTGTCACTGGTGATGGCACCAACGATGCCCAGGCCCTCAAGAATGCCGATGTTGGTTTTGCAATGGGTATCACTGGTACCGAAGTTGCCAAAGAGGCCTCTGACATTATTCTCATGGACGACAACTTCGCCTCTATCGTCAAGGCTATGGCATGGGGTCGCACAGTCTGTGACGCCGTTAAGAAGTTCCTTCAGTTCCAAATCACTGTCAACATCACCGCCGTTGTTCTCACCTTCGTCTCTGCAGTTGCTAGTGATAGTGAAGACTCAGTGCTCAGCGCAGTACAGTTGCTGTGGGTCAATTTGATCATGGACACCTTTGCCGCTCTCGCTTTGGCGACAGACCCTCCTACACCAACAGTGCTCGACCGCAGACCCGAATCGAAATCCGATCCACTCATCACTCTGACAATGTGGAAGATGATCATTGGACAGTCCATCTACCAGCTGGTTGTAACTTTCGTTCTGAATTTCGCCGGATCTAAGATTTTCTCTTGGGATCACGGCCACCTGCAGACTGTGGTGTTCAACACTTTCGTCTTTATGCAAATTTTCAACCAGTACAACTCTCGTCGTATTGACAACAAGCTCAACATTTTGGAAGGTATCTGGAAGAACCGTTGGTTCATTGGTATTCAGCTCATCATTATTGGAGGTCAAATCTTGATCGTCTTTGTTGGTGGCGCTGCTTTCTCTATCAAGCGTCTTGACCAAGGCTCGCAGTGGGCCGTGAGTCTTGTACTCGGAGCAATTTCCTTACCCATCGCCGTGATCATCCGTCTTATTCCGGATGAATTCGCCGCCAGGCTTGTGCCCCACTTTTGGCATCGCAAGAAGGGTCCCGAATTGGTTATCTCAGACGAGGACCGCAATTACGAATGGAACCCCGCCCTGGAAGAAATTCGTGATCAGCTCGCCTTCATTAAGAGTGTCCGCGGCGGACGTCTGCGCCACATCCGCCACAAGCTGCAACACCCTCAGGAACTTCTTCCTCGGTCCCGCAGTGGTTCCCGCTCTCGTGATTCCTCTGCCCCACCCACGCCGAATGGCGACAACGACAACGACAACGGCAGCCCGACCCCACAGCCGGCTACCCCCGAGTCTCGTTCTAGACGGAACACGCGGTCACGATCAAACTCGACGTTCGGACCCGCCGCTGCTATGGCAGGTATCGTTGCTGGTAGTATTGCTGGATGGTCTCCCATCGAGCGAGCCCACAACGAGCCCGAGATCAGCTTCCCGACAAACGGCGGCCCTCACAGCGGCCTTGATCGCGAGCAAGGCATTGAAGTTCACCCGGATACCGCTGCTGATGACCGTATCTTGAACGAGTACTCCGCTACCTCCAAAACACCCCCGAGCCAAAACCCGGATCTGACTCCATTCTTCGAGCATGCCCCGTCGGTGGACCGCGCGCCCTCTAGCCGTGGCCGACGCTCTTTGTCTCAGCGATCGAGATCGAGATCGAGTCTCTCTCAATCGCACGTCTGAGCCCACATCGCCTTCTACTCCTTTCTTTTTCTCCCCTATCGCCGGGGACACTTTAATTTATTATGCCCTAGTTCATCTTTGACTCAAAACTCTACTGCTCTAGTTTTGGTGTCTGGAAATGGGTGATTCGGCGCAACACTGTTGAAAATTAAGCATAGACTCTTCTGTACTTTTGGGTCCCTACAATCATTTGCATTTGGGTTCGGTGGCCAGGCTGGCCTATTCTTTTGGATATCTCTTGGCGTATACGAGGCCTCCGCGCCATCTAGCATTTCATTTCCTTCCTTTTTTTTTTCTCTTATTCCTGATTGTAAAATGCTTAGATTCTGAAGATACCACTTTCTTTCTCGCTTTCGTTCTTTGTAAATTACTCCACATGCTCTCTATGAACTTGTATTGTAGTTCCTGCTGTCAATCAAGGTGTTCTCCCTCCTTCTCATATGTGTTTATGTACTTTTGGTGATATACCAGAGAACAGATGGGTGTTTTTATATTTTTGTGATTAGTCCTCCACTATTGGGGGGGTCACATACTAGATCGTCCAATGATGTCGGGTGTTCGAGATCCATACCGCGCGAACAGCGGGTCATTATATCTTTAAATGACCAACCACGGCGTAGGAACTCACACCATACATTTCTACATCTCTACTAAATGTGAGCTTATAACGAGCTTGAAAGCGCCGTTTAGAATATGGGATAAAATGAAAATATACAGATATTATTAGCACGGCCCCTGGATGACGTGTTTTAACCAAAGAGAAGCTGTTGGAACAATACAAGTCGCTCAGGCAGGATGCCGACAATCACATCAATGTTATATGAAGAAGTTGGTTTGCACATCAAGTTTATGTTTTTTCCACTATATTCTAGATCTTTCAAGTGATTCCTTTTTCTTTCATCCTCCCAGCTACAGCACCAATAAGGGGGAATGTATGAAAAAGCACACCAAAAGGAATACCAAGAGACAACCACCAGAAATCTGACAAAGTAGGTCTTGACCCACCCTCCTAGTGGTGTCTCCCTGTCAATCAGGTCACTAGAGATCTGTGAGGACTGGGGTTACTAACTGACCAGATGAACGAGAGGGGTGTGCTAGACATTCCTAAAGCGGACTAGTAGCTGTAGCTTCCTGTCGGACGACAGCGAGCCGACTTTGTGATACATATTATCACAGGAGCATTGCTGTTGCAAAATTTCCCAGGGTTGGAGTTGGTCATCTTGATTCAATTGCTATATCGAGTTGTCATAGTTGTCATAGTTGTCATAGTTGTCATATTTTAGGGCAAAACATAACCTCCATCAATAAGGACGTCGCTGCCTGTCATATACGTGGAGGCATCACTAGCAAGGTAGAGGTACAACCCTTTGATCTCCTTGACATGGCCTTGCCGTCCCATAGGTGACATACGGTACGCTTCTTGAATGCAAAGAGGGCTGGCTCCCATCTTGGTATCGAAGAATCCGGGGGAAACGATATTGACTCGCGCAAAGTCGCGCCATTCACGGGCAAGCGACTTGCCAAAATGAGTAACGTAGGCCTTTGAACCGTTGTAGACAGGTTGGTCAACAGGAACATTAACAACGTGGCCGCTCATGCTGGAGGTGATGATAAGATTGCCGAAACCCTGGCGCTTGAATACCTCGCCGGCAGACTTGGCGCAGTAAACGATACCATCAACTGTAGTACTTTAGCTGGTGTCTCATTTCAAACTTAGAGGGCCCCTACCATTCACCGACATCTGCTTCTTATACTCGGGCAGAGTCTGTTCCAAGATGGGCTTGGAAATGGCCATGCCTTTAGGAATGTTAGCACATCTTCATTCGAGGTTTCGAATTTAGTTTAGCTCACCTGCATTAGCAACAAAAACATCTATTTTGCCAAAGTCCTTTACAACCTTCTTAATGGTCTCGGCAACTTGCTCAGACTCAGAAACTGTGTGTTATGTATCAGTATATTTATCACCGTTCAGGGTTCGAAAGCGGGAAATGCACACCATCGACTTGATATGCCGCGCTCTTTACATTGTGCGTCTTTGCCAGGTCTTGGGACCTTTCAATAGCAGCTTTGTTTCTGTGATAGACGGTCAGGTGGAGTTTCTTAAATTTTATGTGGTCAGCCTTTCACTCACGAGTTAAACCAAAGAACAACTGTTCCACCAGCCTCGGCGATTGCTTCAGCCACAGACAGACCAATACCGTCGGCACCACCAGTGACGACTACGACCTTGCCGGTCATGCGAAGCTGCTCTAACACATTGGTAGGGGTATTGGGGAATGGACGCGGGAATCCGTTCCGCACATGTGCAGTATCTTGGATTGTCATAGACATTTTAATACGTCGGTGTTAATGTGAAACAGATATTTGGGTTGGGATGATAGCACATCCATACAGTATCAGTATCCTCTTTATAGTGAACCTGACTCCCGGACCAGCACCGAACGGCCCACTCATTTTCGGTTCTCTGTCGCCCGATACTATCCTGTATTTTGGGTAAGTTGGATTTTTAAGGTATGAATTGTCCAACTTGATTTTAAGATACCCTGAACCCTTACCCCAATGATGAATTTCCTGTCAAACACACGTCGGCACGTTAACCTCCGATTGTGCGAGAACCCATGCACCATACTTTTCCGCTACGGTGATATCTAGAAACGGCTATTCTAGGTTCTGCTCAATGCATGGAATCATTGTCTAGGCTAGGTAGTTCAAAGTGTGTCAAGCCGGAGGACCGATGCCCGACTCTACTTGTGAAAATGTTCCTACTGGAGCCAACGAAGCTGACGTTGTCATAAGTTGGCTCTTAAATAAATTGACATTGTTGCTTTTGTTAGATATTCTCTTCTAGGATTATCTTTCACCTTGATATACAAATACCAAAGTGGCCAACATGGGATCTTCAGGCAACCTTCCTGGGCGCGACGCCCTTATCTCACGCGTCGTGCCTTCCATGCTTTTCAGCAACGGCAGTGCCTCTTCCATGACACCAGCCCCCGCCTCGATTATTGAGTCCGATGCTACTATCGGAGCCCAGAAACGATTCACCGTTAAAGGAAATGCTGTCGTCACTGGAGGCGCTGGAACACTTGGCCTTCACTCTTGCGATGCTCTCCTAGAGCACGGCCTTCGAGGACTCATGATCTTGGATATCAATCCGGACAACTCCAAAAAAGAGATTGCGCAGATGCAAACCAAATTCCCTACCGCTAAGGTACTCGCACAAAAGGTCGATGTCACAGACGAGGACGCCGTCCAAAAGGCAATGGAGGAGACGGTTCGAGCGCTTGGTTCAATCGACATCCTTGTCACTTTTGTCGGAGTAGTCGGTTGCGTGGAAACACTCGAGATGCCCGTTTCTCAATGGAGAAAGGTTCTGGACATCAACACGACCGGTTCATTTATCTGTGCCCAAGCCGCGGCCCGACAAATGATGAAGCAAAGAACTGAAGGCTCAATCACCTTTGTCGCGTCGATTTCGGCACACCGTGTCAACTACCCGCAGCCACAGGTGGCATACAATGTTAGCAAATCTGGCCTCCTTATGCTCAAAAGCTGCTTGGCTGCCGAATGGGCTCGCTACGGTATTCGCACCAATAGTGTAAGCCCTGGATACATGGATACAATTCTCAACGAAGGCGATGGAATTGCCACGCATCGCAAGATATGGGCTGAGCGGAACCCCACTGGTAGAATGGGTAGCCCGTCGGAACTGACGGGAGCAGTCGTGCTACTAGCAAGTACGGCAGGTACCTATATAAATGGTTCGGATATTGTGGTTGATGGCGGTGCAATTGTGTTCTAGGAGAGTTATAGTGCTGGGCTAATGATTACAGCCGGATTTTGTACAGAATAGACAGTCATCAATATGACTTTTTTCATTTGACTCTTGGCTATAATCTCCAAGTATGTAAATTCTAAAATCATACATTTCGTATTGCATAGGTATTCTACAACTGCGTAGGCAAAGTGGCACAAGTGCGGAGTCCGACTTTTCGTATGCAGAAGCGTCGGAGGACTGCGGCCCGATAAAGTCATCCAGCCATGAACATATCGGTAGCCAAGAGCGATTGCCTGGCTGATAACAATATCCTCATATTGTGGTTGTTTAGACTGTGTCAGGGTCGAAAAATCGGTCGCACTGACAGCTCAACTGGCTCCTGTTTCGGAGCACGGCTGACCGTGAAGTCTAAGTATCTATGATGCCGAAAGCGGATAGGGCAAATCTAGCCTCTCATGGGCTTCAAGCGGTAATACCCCGACCTCGTTGTCATTTCGTATTGCCTATTGACAATTACTAGTGTGAGGAGTGTAGGGTATGTGGGATTCTTCGTAATATGCATGATCAGCTATTGACGAACAGTGGTTTCACAGAAACGCAAAAGCAAGGTAAGATAAGTTGATCACATCGTTCCGAACCAGGGTCACTGACGTCCGACAAAGTGCTCTGGGTCCTCCCCGTGTACTTACTGCGCTCGTACTAGGAAGATTTGTGTATTCGGTCCTGCCCCATCCCGAACACCCTTAACGAGAAGGTAGGCATTCACATGAGCCTTTTCTTTCCGACACCAGGCTCATATCTCATAGGAATCTGGATGCAGCGGAGGCTCGTTGCTCTGCCTTGCTATCTATTATTCATAGAATCAGCCCCGACCTTGACGTTGAAGCTGCACTGAAGGGTACTGTCAATTTAGAAGGATATTCCCTGGCATCTTTTGACACTTCCCATGGCTTGAACTCAGATGTTGAGGGCACTGAATTTCCAGATAGGCTCGAGTGGCAAGAATCATCATTGGCTGCTCCCTCTGAACAACACAAGAGCCCTTTGGATGGAATGTCGTCACTGCCGGCGAGCGGAACGGAGTCGGGTTACCTGGGTAAGAACGCAGAATCAAGGTTGAGACCAAGTTTAAGTCTGAAATACCTTGATTGACTTAGAACAGGGAATAGCTCTGGTACCACCATTCTCCAAGCCATCTCAGACTTGATCCCAGAACCCACAAACCCCCAGGTTGATCAACAAGAAAATACGTCGCCCTCAAAACCTAATCAGACTGGTAGTCCTGGCATATCGATACACCTTGCAAATGTGGCTGTTTTGGATAGTTTAGTTGATGCATACTTCATGTGGTATAATCGCTCGTATCCAGTCTTGCATGAAGGAACTTTCCGAGAGCAGTACCAACTTCGTCACAAGATCCATCCGCGATCAAGCTGGCATCCAATAATTTTTATTGTCCTCGCAATCGGTGACTGGATTTTGACAGAAGGTTCAGAGGGAGAGCAATCCGGATATTATACTGCCGCACGATCATGCATGTCAATGCACATGCTAGAGTCCGGAACACTGCTCAACGTCCAGGCTTTCTTACTGATGGTTAGCTTCCTACACCGAGATCTATTCCTTGCAGGTTGCTGATCTGTTTCAAGGGCAACTATCTCCAGAAACGAGATCGTCCAAACACAGGATACAACTTCATTGGCATTGCGTATAGGATGGCTGTGGGCCTGGGCCTTCATCGCGAACCCCCCGGAGGAGCGATCGCGGATACTTTGTACGATGAAAGACGAAGGGTAGTATGGTGGATTGTGTATTGCTTTGAGAGTGGTCTCAGTCTGACGACTGGGAGGCCACTGACCATCTCTGACTCGTTTATTGAGACACTTTTACCGCGAAACATCGACGATTCTGTATGTTTTGAAGGGCTCTATGATGCATTGTTAAAATTGTTAACATTATTTTGCAGACTTGTAATTTGGAGTCTCATCTACCCCCTCCTGTACAACAACCCACGGTTTATTCAGCTATAATCGCTCAGGCACGACTGGCGTCAATTGGAAACGTTGTTTTCCGTGAATTGATTTCTTCCACGAACAAAATTTCTTGGGACCTCAAAACCTCCCGCTCTATCAATTGCCAGTTCAAAGCATGGAAGTTATCGTTGCCCCCATATTTTACGGCTCAAGATGTTCCCAGCTGGTTTCGGGGACCACGTACTATTATCATTTGGAAAGAACAAAATCTGCGAATGATGCTGTGGTGGGCAAGTCAGCGCGCGTGTAATCTGCCTTCCGACAAAGAAGAAGCTCAAGGCATGTGTCATTTCACGGCAGTTGAAACAATCCAGGAGATCACCACCTTTAGGCACGACAACCCTGAAATCTTTCACACTGGTCTCAGCTGGTACGCGACGTACTTCTTGTTTCAAGCAACTGTTGTTCTCAGTATCCATCATCTTCGTCCATCTCAACCTATCCATGCCAGTTTGGTGGAAGCCAGCGAGGAGCTATGGTTGTCATCCATTTCAAGAGCTCGAGACTGTCTAGCTTCTTTAAGCAGTAACAACAAATCTGCAATGCGGTGTCTAGCGGTACTAGATCGAATAAGGGAACGATCTCAATCTTCGCAAGCAATATCAACCCCTCAGCCCAGCTGCCAGACTGGTCCCTTGCAATTTGAAGACCTAGCTGAGAGCCCGGGGATGCGTCCTGCGCCTTTGGCCATCGATCCTACTCTGCAGATGTTTTTCAATGACTCGGCGTGGGACAATGATATATTCAAAGGACTTAGTGGGTTTCCCGGCACTGGCGAGGTTGAGCCATTTGATTATCTTCCAGTCAACAATGATCCGGGATGGTCTAGACCAGGGTGAGTAGATAGAGAAGTTACTTCGAAATAAAGAGATGCAATAGGAGAGGATGAGATCCATCAAGTGATTGAAAACTTTGGCAGATTGCAACAAGCGTAACTTCAATTATAGAACCATGTAATTGAAAGAAGCAGGTCTTACTCGACAGGTTGTCCACTAGTACACAGGAAGCTTGTACGCATCCAAATCGTAACTAAAGCTATCAATCGATTCCTGGTCATAAACACATTGGAACTTCTTCCCATTCGCAGTCCAAAATGGGCGAAGAGGCCAACGACAGATTGTTTCGATCTCACCAGACCCGGCAAGTGTCGCCGGTGCTTTGCCATTCTCAACCCATTCAATAAGAGTATGTAGAGTGGTCTGTGGCCATGGCGCACTGGGTTGGTACTCGTTGGTGCCACAATGTCCCACGCCAGGAATGAGGAACAGTCGATAGAAATCATCGACAGCGGCCGCACCTGCACTGTATGACTTATCGGGGAACATAATTTCCCTGACTGAATCCCAGTAACGGACTGAAGAAGCAGTAGGGATTGAGTCGTCTTGTTCTCCGTGGACGTGGATAACCTTTCCACCGGCGGCTTGGAAGTCTGACAAGTCTGGGTACGTTGTCTGGAAGATATCTCCGTACTTGTTTTGGGAAAGTATCATCCATTCCTTCAGGGTATCGTAGGTCACGCCGTCCAAGCTAGGAATGTTGGTCTCCTGCAGAAGATCAATGAACAAGCCAATCCACATGCCACCGAGACCACTTATGTCAAGCTCCCAGCTGTCGGTGGACGAATCATATGCGCTTTGAAGATCTTCGAAAGTCGAGCCAGGCTGGTAGTTGAAGTAAACTCGCTTGCCGTCGGAGTCGTGAAGACCATTCCAAAAGGCCTTGACGACTTCGATGGCTTTGGCAGATACCTTGCCTGTCTGTGCAGGTGTGGCGCCCGCGTACGAGGAACCACTAACGGCAGGGCAGGAGTAAGAAGCGTCCAGGATGGAATCCCAGTTTAGATTCTTCAAACACAAATCGGATCGTGATACAATACCGTCAGTCTTACCATCCAGGGGATCACAGCTTGCGACGGTCATGTTCATAATCTTCTCGAGCTCGCAACTGGGCGAGTAGTAGTCAAAGGTTTTCTGGATGACGTTGCCAGTCAGATGGTTGGTTTGCTGCTGTGCCCATCGGAATGCTGGAGCACCGGCGACTACACCGTCGAACTGATTGGGGAACCGTTGCACCTGGCTCCAACCCTCGCGGCCTCCCTCAGAACAGCCCTGATAGTAGGAGTAAATCTTTTCGCTGGATGGTACGTTGTAAATATTTCTTGTTAGTTCTTTGCCCAAAACAGCGAGCTCGTGTTGGGCTTGGTAGCCTGTTCCTCTATGTTAGTTGACTCATAAGCTGTGAGTTTCGAAATACAAAGATCTCACCAAACATGTATGTCGCTTGCCAATTGATAGTTCCATTTTCCAAGAGAGCAACGGAACTAAATTGGGTGGTAAAGCTTCCAAACCCTCCATCGGTCAAACCTCCAACACTTCATACAATATGTTAGTCAAACTATTCATGCCACCGAGAAGTAAAAGAGGAAATACTTACCCGCCAACGATAACACCAGTAGGGATCGATGAGGACCCCGAGTTGATAGCCCAACCACCTCCACCTGTTGACACATATCTCTTCTTAAAGTGCCCTGGGGCTGGAAGCCAGTATTGCACATGAACAATATCCCCGTCAATGCCATCATGAGAGTATGCGAAAGTCACATTACAGTAGTCGAAGGTGGAGGTAAGATAGAAGATGTTGGTAGCGGTGAAATTGGTGACAAGACTTGTGGAAATTGAAGAGGGATCAACAGTAACTCCTTGAATGGCATCTACTGGCAGCGCCTTCTTCGCATATGCGGTGGTGCATATGTCACTCAGTGACGTTGTTGTGGCAGCAGCAGAGGCCAGCACAAGCGTATAGGCCCATAGAGAATACCGCATGATGTTCCGCACTCTCTCAGCTATATCGAGGGAGATATACAAGAACCCCAGGTAAAGGGGATGGACTCCTTTTTATCTATAGTAGTGACAAGCGGTCCTAAAGCCGGGGTAACTTCGGTGATTGGCACTGGGGTAAATATTATGCCGTCTCTCTCCACAGACCTGTGGGGAAGCTGGGGTACTGTTCAACATTCCACGAATACAAATGATTATTGAGTTCTTCAGGCAAGTCTAGTCTAACTTATTTTATCAGAAGCTTGCTACTCCACAAATCTCCACTGCAGGGGTGTCGGCTTCCAAGGTGTATAGGTCAGTCCACCAACTACTTCGGTTGTATACTCGTTAAGCTATTGTAATATCACGCACTACAGCAAACGGAACGCTCTGCGAAGGCGAAATTGACCTATTATCCATTTTGATTGCTTACGCTCTTTTATTTGTCCAAATTTGGGGTGATGATGCAGGGTTTATAGTGGATCAGGACTAGACGTATAAATGCACTTCAATACACTAGTTCATAAGCGGAAGATATCCCCGAGGCCCGAAATTGCAGGCATACTCTACCAAGCCCTCATACCACACCCCCTCGCCCGAACCCAAACGTCCACAATCTTAGAAGTTTCGCTGTCTTGATCCGAATCGACAACAAAATACCACCCATAAAAGGCACCGGTAACGCAAGCATGATTAGGGTGCACCTTAACCACTTGTCCAATTCGCAGAGGAATCTTCGCCTGCCACTCACTCTCCCAAGTCACAACCGCATGTTCCTGGCTTATCCTCTCAACAACCAATCTCTCCGATGAAGCTTTACCCAATCCATCCAGTTGCCAAGAAGAAACAACCCCCCACCCCGAGTAACTCGGACATGGCTCTCGACCCAAAGCAAGCGTCCCCGCAGCCAAAAGCGCCTCAGGCTTCTCACGCTCACCGTCGTTATAGACACTGCACACTTCGGCGAGCACCGAGATGGCAATTTCATCCTCCAAAACTCCAGAATCAGCACTAGCATTTGTGGAGAACTGCTGCATATCCAGGATGGGATAGACGCCAGCATGCAGCTCGACAGTTGTCTCGCGAAGCAAAGCCTTCAGCTCCTGCGCCTCCGCACAGAAAGAGTCCTCACGCAGCAAGTTCTGGGACGAGACTACCTGCGGGGTCGCACCAACACTGATGATCAATTCCCTTTTGGGCAATATATGCAAATTTCTCTCCAAGGCATCTTTGCATCCGCGGATCTCACTGATCAAATGGCCCATCGCTTGCTCGGGGGTTGTCCCGTTATAACTCAGACTGCTGTGTGAATACAATCCGAGGAGCCTTGCCCCGCCTGTTTCCTCCGCGGAGACAAGTTTCTCGAGTAACCCGTTCTTGTTGAGGGATACGGGCGGTAAGCCGGCGCGGTGGTAGCCCGTGTCGACCTTGACAAAGACACAGGCTGGATGTCCGGCCAGAGAAGATAGTTTCTCCAGGTAGGGGAGTTGATCTAAGTGGTCGATCATCACAGTGATGCTGTTCTCGCCTAGCTCGCGGGCTGCCTTGGCTAGTAGTGGAACCTGTGATGGGACGAGGGGGATGCCGTAGAGAATGTTAATTTTGCAGCCTTTTTGTTTCAGATCCTGTAGTAGAGGGATCATCATCTCGATCTCTAGGACTGTGGAGGCTATGAAATTGGCCTCGGTGCTGTCGCCGATTTGGAGCTTGGCGATTTCGGGTGTCTGATGTTCATAAGCTGAGTGTAATTACGTGGAGTATCCGAGGCCTCTTACCTTGTGAGACTTGACATGAACCCTAAATCCGACATCGAGCTTTTTGACTGTGCGTAGCATTGTCTCGCAGTGTCGTCGGATGATTGCTACGTCAAGGACCGCGGCTGGTTTAGGTACATCGCTGATGTCTTTGCCGATGTAGAACTTCTGCAGATCTTCTTGAGATGGGGTTAGGGAAGTCATTTTATAATATGTAGCCGGTTACTGGGAAGTGTGAGATAGAAGTTGGATATTTGTATTCTCCCCTCATTCTGAATAGGAAATGTGGGGCGGAGGATGTCAAGTCCGGCTTCGCCATCCATTTCAAGTCGTTGGATACTTTCAATCCATCACGGGTATTAGAAGTATCCAATATATGATCTTCGGTACGAGTGGTCTCTCTAATATCAGCCGCAAGTAGCATGCCTGCTTATGCATCCCGCGACTCATTGTTTGAGGTCCCAAAGGTCTTGTTCCTAACCAATTCATTAGGAAGCTCCAACCAAGATACATCGAGCCAAGATTGACCACTGTTGTCATTTTCCTACCGGTCTGAGTCTTCTGCGTCTAGAATATAACCATTAGAGACAAAGGCTCTAATGTCAATCCGGTGGACTGGAAAGATGATACCTGATGTTCGCACAATAAAAGACCGTGCCGTGGCCACAGGTCGAACTCTATGACGAACAGATCTAGTGACCTTCCCGTTATAGGCTGGAAGATGGACGGTGAGGAAGTCTGAATTGCGTCGGTGGAGGCCATTGTAAGTTCAGTATCGGTGAGGATGTTGTGAAAGTCAAAGGGAGTTAAACTAGAGAAACGACAAACGAGATTAGCAAGCAGGTGAAGCTTGGATTGGGGGGGGCAGTCAAATCAAACGATGAGAACTATGGGCGTCACCTTGTGAGTTGTCGCTGTGAGATTGTGCGTTTGAGAGTCACGTTTGACATGTTTGATGGAGCATATTGAATAGCCAAGGAAAAGAAACTGCATTCATCAACCCCTGATTTGCATTTCACCAGTTCGAAGTAGCTAGATATCCCCTTGAAATTTCTCTTTGTCCTGAGCACCCATTCAGAGTCCTCGGGCTCCCTATCCCTGGCACGGCACCGGTGCAAGATCCGTTATGCTGCTCTTCATCTCCCCGATCTGTCAACTGAAAGTCTTCCTACGTCGTATGCTGGCATCATTGGAAAGAAATCTCCGTCCTGCAACAATGTCTTCGCCGTCCATTCAGTCCCACTTGTTGCAGTTTGAAGCTGCATCTCTTTATATTTAGTTCCTTTGAAGTCATGGAGAGGGGTGTCTTGACCTAGTTAGGGAAGCTGTAAGATTTCACAGGTGTAGTTGAAGAAGTTGAGTGATGGCTGAATGATGTTGCTTGATGTTTTGGGGATCGATGGTATTTATATCCACCAGGATGCAGTTTCCAGTACACGACCCAATAATAGAAGTTCTAATTGGAAGGTGGTAGACAGCTACAGCACATATTGTAGCACATGTATACTGGGCATAACGCACCATGTCAAATCTTATACATAGGAAGGTCGATTTCACAAATTAAGCCTTTTTCGGCCGTGTATCCGTGAAACAAACTCAGGTGTCCAAAATATGTGTAAACAAAACATCTGAGAAGACTACTAAAAAGTCTAAAGAAGCAATAAACCCCAATCTCATGTAAATCGAGACCTTTTTAACAATTTATCATTTTCAAACACATTTCGCCAACGCCTAGAAAGCTAGGAGAGTTCGCCTTCATAGATCCGCATCACGGATTCCGGCTTGTGGGTCAGGAGAGACGGGGGAAAAGCTTGGCTAGACTTGTAGGAAATGATCTGAGCTAGATACTCGAGCTACGTAATACACATAATTCGGGGTTCCATTTGTGCAAAGTCTTCCGAGTTGAACATCAGAGGACCTATAATATCCCATATACAGTGTACCAATCAACTCATACTCAGATAGGCTATACCGCGATGCCGATGACAGCCGAACAGCGAGAAACTCTCTATATATAGTAAAGCTAAGTTATGAATAGATTAATGAAAGGAAACATTAATCAGAGGTATTTAAAAAGAGCCCCTTCCCTCAAACCTTCATATCCCCAGAGCTATAGCGAATCATTACAGAAGGTGTCCGGGGAATCATTTGTCCCGCCGCAATCACAAGGGACCAGAATACATTTCTCGCAGAAGTTGCTCAACGGAACTTCGGCTGATCATCATCCTCCTTCCCAAAATCTGATCATCGTATAGAATCGTGAGCTAACACATAGACCTTGCGTCGACAACATTCCAGAGCATGCATATTCGGAGCTTTCCAGTATGCCACTTGCCCCATACGGAAATGTATTGCGGATCACAGGGGTCGGCGGGACTTTTATTTTTTACGGTGTTGCTGTCATGAGTCTATCCCTTCCTTTGATTGTATCATGAGATGGCTACAGACCCACCGAAGATGTGTGTGGATGGGTCAATATTGCGCGGTGAGGTTCATCCCCACACTTGTAACTTGGGATAAAGCTGGGTAGCTTTCTTTTGTTTCTCCACCAGACGATCAATGATCTACAATCTGCAGAGTGTGTTTATTCACGGCTGTATTGTAGTGGTTCCAATTCCAGGGCTCATCATTGGATGCCGTCTGCGAGCTGCTCGGTTGGTGCCTTGATTGCTAAGGAATGCGTATGTATCCAGTCTCCCCTCGGGTTGTTACACCGTCTCATTGAGTAGACAGGGTGATGTCAGGTCAGTATTCAACGGCCTAGCAATGGTGCACTGGCCCCGTGTGCGTTTCCCCTTATATCTATCATACCATAGTTCACCCCCTCGGTTATGTTTTATACGGACGGCTCATTTCCCTCACATTTTGTGGCTGTTGTATAGCCGTGGATTTACGAAATCCAATATATACGCTGGACTCCTCGGCATTTATTTGTTCACTAGTGGATTCGGGTTGAAAGCTACTGTTCACGAACAGCTTAATCCGACATAATCCACTCACACGTCCTTCGAGATATCCGAGAATGAAGCCCGACGATGTCGAAAAAGCCCACAGCTCGCCTGCTCTTGGGAGTCCGAGCCAGTTTCACCTCGACAAAAGCGCTTCCAACAGCTCCTCCTCCGACTCGGACCTCGCAAAGCCTGACCCCGTGCCAGAATCAAGATGGTCACGATGGGCTGCAAGCTTGAGAAATGTGGAGAGCCGTGGCGTCGAGCCCATTCCTATCGAAGCTCGAGAACCAATAACATCTTC